TAACCCTATGGAGCTTGGTTCTACTCTGACACAGGTGGGGTCACCATGAGTCAGTCGACTCGATGGCAGCTGGTTATTGGTTATATCTATATCTATCTATCTCTACCTATCAATCTACATGTATACATACACACACATATACAATGGCAGGATCAAGAATGAAGTAATGAAATGTATTCTTTTTCATATACATACTTATATATATACATACAAACACACATACATACATATTGTCTTAGGTATTAGTGCTGCTATAACAAAAATACCACAAGTGGGTGGCTTTAACAGAAATTTATTTTCTCACAGTTTAGGAGGCTAGAAGTCTGAATTCATGGTGCTGGATCTAGAGGAAGGCTTTCTCTGGAGGAAAGTCCTTGTTTCTTCTGAGCTTCTGCTCCTGGTCAATCTTCATGTGGCTTGGCATTTCTCTTCCCCCTATCTCTGCTTCTTTAGCTTGCTTGTTTAATCTCTTTTATATCTTTAAAAAAAAAAAAAAAAGACTCAAACTACGCCCTACATTAACCCTGTCTCATAAACATAACAAAGATAACCCATTCCCAAATGGGATTACAACCACAGACATAGAGGCTAGGATTTACAACACGTATTTTGGAGGGACAATTAAATCCATAGCACATATATACATAGATGCTCTAAAACTAGCAAAATGGTGTGCTTATCTCTAATCTAAACCAGGTCTAGCTCCTTTGTACTAATCCATGCCTTGTTGTTGGGTGCCATGGAGTTGATTCCGACTCATAGTGACGCCATGTGACAGAGTAGAACAGAAAGGCTGTAATCTTAATGGAGGCAGGTTGCTAGGTCTTTTCTTCCACAGAGTGCTGGGTGGGTTCGAATCACAAACATTTCTCTTAAGCGTTGCGCCACCAGGGCTTCTCATCCATGCCCTGGGTTATGGAAAATAGAAGCAGAAGCAGTCTTGTTGGTGGGAAGGAAGTACTTCCTCTTTTCTCTAGTGGTGCTCTTGAATGCATGTGATCACTTCTGTACCTTTAGCCCCTTCCAAGCACACTGGGTTCCAGGCTTTGTAATTATATTCAGTTTGTCCACCTTAACCAGGCATTCACCTTGCAGACTCATTATGCCATAATGCTATCCAGTTGGAACTTCTTTCCATAATATACAACATTTAGTACATTTTCACATATAGCCACACCACAATCACCTGTTCCCCTTCCTAGAGCAGAGAGAGTCTTTGGAAAATAAATGTAATCCTTCTGGAACTCTCTGTGATGTGGACTTTTAGCTCTGAGGCCACATTACCTCCCCCCGCCCCCAATCACACTACTTCAGGGTCATCGCTCTTCTCTCTCAGTTCTCTGTTGATCTCTAGTGAGATTTCCTTCCTTCTACCATCCCAACAGCTCTGGTCTGTTGTCTCTTGCCCCTGCCTGGATGGGCTCAGACAGATTTGTCACCATTAAGCTCCTTCATGTTCCCTACAAAGTTATCCCAGTACTTTGTTCAATCAACAACAAGAATGTATTTGGAGACTACCATGTGCCTGCCACTATGCTAGGCATTCAGAAGAAATATAAATGTGGTCTCTACCCTTACAGTGAGTCCATCTAAGTAGTGAGAAAATGTTAACATACATGAAAACGATACAACTGTACTCAAAAGTTCAGAGGGGAGGACCTATAAAGTCCGTGAAGGCAAGAACCAGGTCCATTTGGGTTGCTTCTGAATCCACAAAGCCTAACCCAGTACCAGCCCTGGAGCAGACTCTCCATGAGTATTTGTTGGTAGAAAGAATGAATGAAGGTGGCTAGTACCTTAGAATGGCTTCATGGAGGAGGGGAAACTCGAAACAGATCTTGAAGGAGCCAAAGATTGGGATTGATGTAGATAGAAAGGAACTAGGGTCATACATTATTAATGGGAATAAGTACAATAACCCTAGAAGAAATGAGGAATTTCACCTGATGAGAACACAATTTATACATATTGATAAGTATTGGAAATATGTGTATCTTTTTGGGTAGAATGAAAGGATATTGAATGAAAGGAGTTCAGGCTTATTAAAAACTAAAAAGGAGCCACTGAAGATTTTTCTGGTCTGGATGGGAGAATGACAAGGGAAAGACAGTGTTTAAATTCTCAGGATGAGTGAGAATTAGGAGAAGTTGGTATAAGGAAAACCTGTTATAAAGTGGTGATGCAGGGTAAATGAATAATTTCTTTTATAAGGATCAGCACAAAGCTGGTTCCTATGAGGCTGAGGTTAAAGATGTCCCAAATGTCCAACTTTTCTAAGTTGCTGTACCACTCCATCTCTAATATCAACTACTCTTCTCCTGCAGTCTTTGGGTTCTGTAATTTGCTGCAATGTCTCATAGAACTCACAAAGTGTACTTACAATTGAGTGGTTTATTAGGGAAGTAACAGGGAACAACCTGGGATCAGAAACGACTCAGGATACAGTTCTTCTTCTATCAGGACAGCTTCTTCTGAGCCATGCCCAAAGGCAGGCGTCTCTCCAGTCTCTTAGCCTCTTGGTCTCACCTCTGCCCTGCTCAGGCATTTGTTACAAAGCTACTAGTTCCATGGGTCAGCAAGCCCCACAGCAGCCATTTCATGCCACTATTGTTCTTGTGACCGCTGCACCACTGTCTCTCACTGTCTTCCATGTTACAGCTCTCTATCTCCTGGGTCTAGGAGGTTCTCAACACAGGGACCCCAGGTCCAAAGGACGTGCTTCACTCTCATCTCTTCTTGGTGGTAGTGAGGTCCCCCCCGTCCACCTCTGGGTTGGCTCACTTAGGCCTAGCGGGATGGCAAAACTGACCAATCCCCTAGTTAGGGTTCCATACACCTTATTTGCATTATTAGCAAGTTGTCCAATCCCCTTGGTGGCCACAAGCACCTCATTTGCATAGCCCCACCTAGTCATTTGGTGGAAGTCACAAGATCATGACAAGAAAGGCCAACTAAAAGCAATCCATTGCACCACACAGGGCTAGGCAAGGATTTGGGAGGGAGCAGTGAGAAAGAGCAGGAATGGCCAGATGTGAGATACTTTAATAGAAAATGCAGCACAGTTCCAAGACTGGAGAAGGATGGAGCCAATGTAACTACAAGGTACTGGGATATCTTATTAAAGATTCAGGAAAAAGAGATGATTTGGGAGAGGAGAAAAAAGATTTTGGACGTGTTGATTGGGGTACGACAGTAACATCCAACTTATATCCTATTAGAGACATTGGTCTAGAGAAGGGTAGAGAAGGCACATTAGAGATACAGATTTGAGCATTATCAGGATAGAGGTTTTTAAGGTACAGTGTAGATCTTCAGTGATGCTGATTAATTTCTCCCATAATGTGCTAACTGGAATCCAGCTTTCACAACATTGATGATGATAGCACATTACAAATAACGCTATCAGCAGTATTATCTGAGTTGTTTTTCCAATATCGATGTCTCATGGAGATTTAGAGTCACATAGAATGGTGTCTGTCTGTGTTGGTGATACTCTCAAGATTGCCATGTTGCATATTTTCTACATGAATCCCCAGGGCTCTGCCATAGCTGAGGCAGGCTTCCCATTTGATGTAGTTCATGATGTGAGCTGCAGATGTACCTTTGTGCTTCTTTGTAAGGCAAAGTAGTAAATATTTAACATTTACACATTTGTTGCAGTGCTCCCCAGAATCTCAGATATGAGCAGATAGGTCATATTCCTAAATCCTTTATTTTTTAAGCAAAAATGATACGTGTTTCTGCTGTGGTATCACTTCTCAGTATCCATAAGAAATGGTTTTAATCTCAAATTCTTTCTGACTGACTTGAGCAGGGTAGGAATGATATTTTTTCCTGGAATGACAATTTCTTTTCGCAAAGTTATCTTACCCCATAACTGTATTGATATATTATTTTAGAATTTTATCTATTTTGCTGTTGTTCGTTGAGAATATACACAGCAAAACATATACCAATTTAACAGTTTTTACATGTACAATTCAGTGACATTGATTACATTTTTCCAGTTATATAACTATTCTCACTCTCCTTTTCTGAGTTGTTCCTCCCCCATTAACATAAACTAACTGCCCCCTAAGGTTCCTATCTAATCTTTTGAGTTACTGTTGTCAGTATGATCAAATATACATAGATCTTAAAAGGGCATAATGCTCAAGGCAGACTTTTTTAACTAGTGAAGCTTAACTTATTTGGTTTTAAGAAGACTTCAGGGGATATTTTTGGTTTAAGTTTTAAAGATTATCTCAGGGCAATAGTTTCAGGTGTTCATCCAGCCTCCGTGGCTTCAAAAGCTGGAGTCCATAAGAATTTTAAATTCTGTGCTACATTTTCCCCCTTTTGATCAGGATTCTTCTACAGAATCTTTGATCAAAATGTTCCGTAATGGTAACCAGGCACCATCCATTTCTTCTAGTCCCATGGCAAAGGAGGCAGTTGTTCATGGAGGCAATTAGCCACACATTCCATATTATCCTCTTATTCCTGACTCTCCTTCCTTTGTTGCTCCAGGTGAATAAATTGTTGTGCCTTGGATGGACACTTGCAAAGCTTTTAAGACATCAGGAACTATGCAACCAACTAGGAGGTAGAATAGAACTAACTAAACACGTTATTAAGCCAATTAAGTGGGATGTCCCATGAAACCATGACCCTAAACCTGTAAACCAAGGAACCAAATCCCATGAAGTGTCTGATTGTACATAAGCAGCCTCATCAGCTATTGAGTATTGTTATTTTAAAAGAAGTTTTTACTCTCAGAAAAAAATTACCAAGATCAAATTTTGAATGATTTTACATTTTGAATTCATCAAAGGAAAATGAATGAAGTCATGTAGAGAGGCCCAAAGGACTCTACATTATCAGCAGGATGGTTATGTAGAGCCTTCTGTGTCGTGCCAGGCTACTTTTTAAATTATAGTTGTTATGAAAAGAGTGATACAGCTGCGAAGAGTAATGCAGGAGCAAACCTACCTTTGACTCCTTCTCCACTGTCTCCACAGGCTTCTTCCATCGGGACTTAAAACCCGAGAACCTCCTCTGCATGGGACCTGAACTTGTGAAAATTGCAGACTTTGGATTGGCCCGAGAAATCCGATCAAGACCTCCATACACAGACTATGTATCTACCAGATGGTGCATACTGTTTTTCTCACAATTATTTAATTGCATTTTTTAAAAAAACGATACCATTATACTGAAGGTAATGTTAGAGTCACAAGTATTAACTTTTCACTAAGAGAAGCAGTGCAGTTGGAAACACGTATTTGTTGGTAGGTTGGCATTGTATGAGGTTAAAAGCTTATGCTGTAATTAATATGAAAAAGCAACCCATTATGCTTTTTCATAATATAAATAATGTTTTATATACAGGCCTTCCTGAGGATACTTTCCCAAGAGTTACGTAAAAGATCACACTCTCCATAAACCTGTGTGGAAAACCAGCTAATTGCTATTTTTAAAACTTTGAGACGCTATTTGATTTAAGCAGTTTGCCATGACCAAGAAATAGCCTACATTCAGCAAGTTGTGTTCTCTCTCTCTTTGTCTTTCTCTCTCTCTCTCTCTCTGTGTGTGTGTGTGCGTGTGTTTCTCAAAGATACTGCAAGACAGCTGGAAGAATCCTGTACGGAAATACTATGAAATGGAGAAGTACTAGTTTGCCATAGCAGCCATGGCAGTTGCCAACTCCTCCATAAGTCTGTGAACCACACTGAACTAGATAGAAAACAGAAATGTATCAACTTTCTTTCTGAGACTTGGCTATATTACTTAATTTAATTTCTGACCAGTGAAAGCAATGGTGAGCAGTTAACATTTGTCCCCCCAGGTACAGGGCTCCAGAAGTGCTCCTGAGGTCTACCAACTACAGCTCCCCCATTGACATCTGGGCCGTGGGCTGCATCATGGCAGAAGTGTACACTCTGAGGCCACTCTTCCCTGGGGCCAGTGAAATTGACACCATATTCAAAATTTGCCAAGTGCTGGGGACACCGAAAAAGGTAATGATGTAGAATGAAAGAAGGTCTGTGAGACGAGCCAGCAGGTTCCTGTACTCTTTCCTCAACCCCTGGGCAGCACTGGCACTGTTGATCATCTGCTCAGTCTAGAATCTTCCTTTTGGCCTCATAAATTCTCCACTGCCCATGCTGTCTGACGCTGCTGGCTTCCTTTCTTCCTTCTGCTCTTAATTATGCTATGTTATGTCATGGTAGCCTCTGCTTTTTTTTTTTTTTTTTAAATCCCAAATAATTTTTTTTTTTTTAATTTTTTTAACTTGTGCTTCAGGTGAAAGTTTACAGCTCAAGTTAATTTCTCATACGAAAATTTGCACATGTATTGTTATGTGACACTAGTTGCAACCCCTATAATGTGACAGCACACTCCCCCTTTCCACCCTGGGTTTCCCGTGTCTCTCCAACCAGCTCCTTTTTATTTTTTATTTTTAATCGATGGTTGCCTCTGCTTTTCTCTGTGTCATCTCACCTCTTTTGCAGAGCTTCATGGCTACAACGTTTATATCTATTCAGAAGTCTGCTAAATGTAATCTGTAGCCCTCACATCCTTTTTTTATTGCTCTATTCACATAATTAGAATTATCTATGGGCTTTCTCCCTAACTCTCTCACTCTCACCTCAAACTCAACAAACACATCTGAAAAAAATTACTTTTTGTTGGCCACCAAACTAGCTTCCTTCTTTAATTCCCCATTTCTGTCTCTGGGTCCATCATAATCCCAGAGCCCCAGCCTTTCAGGTTGAGTGTTTGCTTTACCTTCTCTCTTACCCATAACTCCCCCTTTGCCCTAATCCAAGCAGCTAGTCGGTAAATCCTGTTGACACTCCTTGCATAACATCTCTCACATGGGTCTCATCCTTTCAAGACCAACTGCCACCATCACAGATTGGGCCATGACCTCCCACGCATGTCTGGGCAGTATCTTCTCAGTCTTTCTGCCTTCAAGCCCTTTCCCTCTAGTATCTTTCAGTCTGAGGCCTGTTCATCCTCCTAAAGAACAGCTCTGGTACTGTCCTCCCCTCCTAAAAGTATTTGTTGACTCACCATTGCCCAGCTGCCTTAACTCCCTTTCCTTACCCCACTGTGTACCTCTTGGCTATATGCCCTGGAATTCCTCCATTCTGTGCCTCTGCATGTACACCCTCTGCCTGGAGTCAGCATCTCTCACGTGACCCAATTCCACTTCTCTTCCAAGGCCCCTCTGTAATCTACCTTCTCACTGTTTCTCTGACCTCCCTCTTTTTCACTTGCCATTGTCACCTCCTCACTGATCTTCCTGCCCCCGTCTAACACTCTCCAGTCCATTCTGCACACCTAAGATACTCTCCTGCATAGCTGGCAGTACTGCCTGACATTATATTATAAACCCACTGCCGGCGAGTAGATTCCGACTCGTAGCGACCCTGTAGGACAGAGTAGAACTGCCCGATAGGGTTTCCAAGACTGTAGTCTTTACAGAAGCAGACTGCCACATCTTTCTCCCATGGAGCAGCTGGTGGGTTTGAACTGCTGACCTTTCAGTTAGCCGAGTACTTAACCACTGTGCCACCAGGGCTACCTCATTATGTTATAGACTTACTTAAAATAAAAAAACAAAAAACAAACCCATTGCCATTGAGTCTATTCCAACTCATAGAGACCTTATAGTACAGAGTGGAACTGCCCCATAGGGTTTCCGAGGTGTGGCTGATGGATTTGGTTAGAAGCTGAGCTCTTAACCACTGTGCCACCAGGGCTCCATAGACTTAATTATTTGGTAGTTATTTGCCCACCCCTAGAATAGAAGCTCCATGAGGGCAGGGACTCTGCTTTACTCACTACTTATTCCCTGTGCCTAGAACAGTGTTTGGCACATACTAAGTCTACGGTAAATACTTGCTTAAGAATCAGTGAATCAAATGCACCCTAAAGTCCAGAGCCTTTACCATGGCATGCAAGGCACAAGTTGCCTGACCCAGCCTTTCGTGCCATTCTCTCTCCTGCCACTCCCCCCAACTATTTAAGTACACTCTGCCTGTTACGCCTCTGTACCTTTGCATGTGCCATTTTCTTTGCCTGGATTGTCTGTCCCCTTGGTCGGCATGAAGGCTGGGTAATAGTGGAAAAGATCATGAGTTTGCCACCAACTTTATACCCTTTACACAAGAAAGTCTTATCTACCCAGCTCACGTGTCACATTTAGGAAGCTGTGCCTGAACTTATTGAGATCTTAGAAGCTCTAGACCCTCATATTACTCCATGCATGCTGTGTTCTGTGTCATTAATATCATTAATGCAATTATCTGTGTACATATCTGTTTCCTGGACCATAAGCTCATTCAGTTAAAGATTTGTCTTTGTTTATGTGTATGCTAGTTCCACTGCTGGCATAAGAAATGTTTTAATCATTTGAATGGATCACTAATGCCACCTCCTCAACAAGATGTCCAGAGTCCCCTGCTGGAATCTCTCCCTCTCCTGGATACTTGTATCTGTACCTCTCTGGTGACCTTTGTCACCTTTTACTCTGTATCATCATTATTTTTCAATAAATGTCTTATTTTTTCTCTTAGCCAGTAATATCCTTAAGGGCAGGATTTTTACTGGATTCTTTTGGATACCCAACAGCACTAAGCATGTAGCAAGCACGCAATAAATATCTAAGTGAATGAATAAGTGGGATTGCTATACATAGAGCTACTTTGCTTTAAAAAAAGAGAGAAGCAGTTATATCAGGATGTGTTTTGTAAAATAATAGAATGTTAGAACCAGAAGGAGCCCTAGAGACCATTTGTTCAGCATTTTCCATCATTTGTTCTAGCATTTAGGGTCTCATAGGTACAACACATGAGAAACTGGGGAGCTTAAGACTGGGTAAAGCAGTTTTCCCTACTGCAGGACTTCTCAGAACCTTAATGTATGTTTTGAATCATCAAGATGGGGATTAATACTATGTAAGTTTTCACAGATGTATTTGACCAGGAACAAGGAATTTTGTTTTCCTCACAAAAATATCTGTTAATAGTTTCCAAAAGCTCTGTCCCATGGAACACAGTTGGGAAAAGTCTAATTTGGTTCAAACCCAAAGAGATGGACTTTCTTGTGTAAAGGGTATAAAGTTGGTGGCAAACTCATGATGTTTTCCACTATTACCCAGCCTTCATGTTCTTTTTCATCTCTTATTAGTATACCCCTCTGTTTAATCACACACAGTGCCACAGTAGTGAATGTGGGTATGGTAACAGAATGATTGCCTCTCCATTATGGGCACTCATGCCTGGATATAAACTCCTGTCGCAGTGATTGGCTGAGTGAGATCTTCTATCTTTTTTCTTTCAGACCGACTGGCCTGAGGGCTACCAACTTTCAAGTGCTATGAACTTCCGCTGGCCCCAGTGTGTACCCAATAATTTAAAGACCCTGGTTCCAAATGCTGGCAGTGAAGCAATTCAGCTCATGAGAGACATGCTTCAGTGGGATCCCAAGAAACGACCAACAGCTAGTCAGGTTTTCTTCCATTTTCTTCTATTTGATAGGTTTCTTATGAAGTTCTACCAAACTAAATAATTTCTACAAGTCTCGTGTGAAGTATTTTATTTGGTAGTGTGAGTGGAAAATAGTATCAAATGCCACTAAAGGTGTACTATATAAGGTATATAAACTTAAAATAGTTTGAAACATATCGTGTGTAGTTAAAGGTTTAAACAATATAATCGTTTTGAAAATTGGAATACAATCCATATGATACATCACCATATATGTGCACATAAAAATAAACGGCTCTATCTATCTGTGTTTGGAGAATGTTTTTAAGTATATTATCTTTGAGTTAAGACTATTTAGCATTTCGTCATGAATCTGTTTTATAGTTAGTTTGGGCTAAAAAAGGCCCCTGGGTGGCACAAATGGTTTGCACTCAACTTCTAGCCTAATGGTTGGAGGTTTGAACTCACCCAGTGGTGCCATGGAAGAAAGGCTTGGCAATCTTCTTCCGTAAAGACTACAGCTGAGAAAACCCTATGAAACAGTTCTAGTCTGTAACATATGAGGTCATCACAATTCAGAATTGATTCCAACTCAATGGCAATGGGTTTTGGTTTTTTTGGGCTAAGAAACTAGTAAGCTGGTCACATGAAATAGACCCCAGTAATCCTGATGGTATTAGCCTTCCTGGCCAAACTTTTCTCCTAAAGCAGCGTTATTTGTCATTCCAGGCCCTTAGATATCCTTACTTTCAGATCGGGCACCCACTGGGCAGCACCACCCAGAACCTCCAAAATTCAGGAAAACCACAGAAGGACGTTCTGGAAAAGGCAGGCCCACCTCCTCACATTAAACCTGTCCCTCCTGCCCAACCCCCAGTCAAGCCACACACACGGATTTCTTCACGGCAACATCAAGCCAGCCAGCCCCCTCCACATCTCGTGTACCCCTACAAAGCAGAGGCCTCCAGGGCAGATCACCTGAGCCATCTCCAGGAAGACAAGCCAAGCCCGCTGCTTTTCCCATCCCTCCACCACAAGAACCCTCAGTCGGTAAGCCATGGAGAGTCACCACTGGGCTTTGTGTCTGACTTATTCCTCTTCTCACCCCACTTACTGTGTGAAGTATTTTTCAGTTTGTAAGGTCTAATTATAATAGATTTATCTTTGTAATCACATGGAATTGTGAAAAGAGCCTTGGCTTTTGATTGTTGTTGTGCTTAGGTGCCACCAAGTCGATTCTCAACTCATAGTGACCCATGTGACAGAGCAGAACTGCTCCATAGGGTTTTCTTGGCTGTACTCTCTATGGGAGCAGATCACCAGGTCTTTCTCCCACAGAGCTGCTGGGTGGGTTTGAATCACCAACCTTTTGCAGCCTAACGCTTAATCTTTGTGCCACCAGGGCTCCTTGGCTCTGGAGTAAGAAGATCTAAATTCAGGTTCTGGCTCTGTCTCTTCATAACGGTGCTACTTATGGGGGCAGCTGTGCTGTAGCGGTTGAGAGCTGGACTCTGCAATTGCCGGGGTCTCAAATCCCCACTCTGCAATTTAGTAGCCTGATGACATGTTACTTGGCCTCTCTCATTTTCACATCTGTAAAGTAAGAATAATATTAGTACCTACCTCATATAATTGTTTTGAAGACTAAATGAGTTAGTACTAGAAAATAATTTAGACTAGTAGCTGGCGCCTAGTTAACACTTGATAAATTGTTAGTCATTATTATTCATCCCTGTGGGCTCAGTTTCCTCGTCTGTAAAAGGAAGATCATAATGCATGTCTTGCCTACCAGACAGGATTGATCATGAGCCTTAAGGGTCATGATGCTTGTGAAAATGTTTTGAAAATCATAAAATGCCATGCTAATACTTACAGACTGTTATTCATATGAATGCAGTTCCTTTCTGAGCCCAGATCTTTCTTCTCCTCTTAGTCTGGCTTTCAACAGATTCAATAAAATGATAACCCAGCAGGGGAGTCTAGTTACCATAAGCTTTGTGATGCTGTATGAACCATCTATTTTCTAACACCTTTATGCAAAAATAATACATTTTCTGTCAACTAGTATTCACTGAAGGAGCCCTGGTAGCACAACGGTTAAGCACTCAGCTGTTAACCAAAAGGTTAGTGGTTCGAATCCACCCAGCAGCTTTACAGGAGAAGGACCTGGTGATCTGCTTCTGTAAAGATTATAGCCAAGAAAACCCTACGGGGCAGTTCTACTCTGTCACATGAGGTTGCTATGAGTTGGAATTGACAGCCCCCAACAACAGCAACAACAGTGTTCACTGAATGTTGACTCCCAGCTAGCACAATGTGAGATACTGAAAGAGGCTGCAGAGATGATCTCTCTAGGCTGTTAACTTTATCCCAATCTACAATTTGAAAATAGTATGTTAGGAAATTTCCTATGGTAGTTATTTCTGTACTTGAGAACATATCCAGGTCTTACTGGGTAGTCTGCTGTGAAGGCAAGGAAGAACTTATTTACATTGTTCTCTATAAAAGAGCAGGTTGACTGATGTCTTAACCACATTCTCTTATCTCTGCGTATGACAGTGTAAATCATGTTAACTCTTTCAGGGAATGAGAATGAGAGACCTAAGTAAGAATCCAGCCATTCTCCTTTTCACTTCATATATGAGAAGCATCTTAAATTCCTTTTTAAAAAAATCTTTGTTTTATACAACTTCATACCCCATTGGATGCAAACCAATGAAATCTGTCACGATGGACGAGACACAGAAGGGCTGGGGATGTGTTTTCCATGATTGCCCTTTCAGACAAGCAGTGCATCTTGGGGAATGATATGACAGGGATCTTCCTTTGTATAACAAAGGAGGTTCACATGAAAATTACTCATGAATGAGCTCCATTAATGCCAGGTATTGCTTTTTTGTCTCTTTACTTGCATACACAGAAAATCCTAGCTGGCCTGGAACACAAAAATGGTGAGATCAAGCCAAAGAGTAGGAGAAGGTGGGGTCTTGTTTCCAGGTCAACAAAGGATTCAGATGATTGGGCTGACTTGGATGACTTAGATTTCAGTCCAGCCCTCACCAGGATTGACCTGAAGAACAAGAAAAGACAGAGCGATGAAACTCTCTGCAGGCAAGTGTTCTGCTGATGTGTGTAAGCGGACGAGATCTGGGGTTTGTGAGATTATTTTTCACATATCTGGTGATGCTTACTCACTTGTGCTGACCTAAAACACGTTGTCCTGATTCAGATTTGAAAGTGTTTTGGACCTGAAGCCCTCTGAGCATGTGGGTACAGGAAATAGTGCCCCTGCCCAGACTTCCTCTCAGAGGCGAGACACGCCCACCTTGAGGTCCGCAGCCAAGCAGCACTACTTGAAGCACTCGAGATACTTGCCTGGTAAGTAAAGAAATGCCTTGTCTTTACTTTGATTGTTGATAGTAAATTATTTCCTTGAAATCACATATTCACAAAGATCCTGTTTTGGAAGGCAAATACTTGGGAATATGTCTTCAGAACTGGTAGGAACATCAAAGAAACAGTTGCTGAAGCCCGGGCTTCATATTTTTTGTCTTATATAGTGCCTAAGATAAGAAATTTAGCATAGGAGACCAGATCCAACCTCTGAGGAGGGAGGAACTGGCAAGAGCTAGGCAGCGTATATGAGGCCTTTCCAGCAAACCACAGTTTAGAAGAAATTGCCAGTCCTGTGTGTTTTAGGAAGCCAGGAGGTACAAGCTTGGTCACACCATCTGGGCAGTACTACAGGGGTTAAGTTTAAAAGTTACTATTTGGTAAATTCCCAAGTCTCTCTCTAGATTCTCTGTATTCCAAGCTTTACAACATGAGCCAATCATTCATTTACAAATTCACTCAGCAAATACTTATTGAGCATCTACTGTGTGCTTGCTACTAGGAATATGGTAAGCAAAACAGCCAAGCAGGGCCACTGTGTGGCTCCATCCATATCATAGTCTATACAATAGCTTTATACAGCAGCCCTGCAGACCATGTCCTCGCCCTCGTGCAGCTTATATTCTAGGGGTGGGGAGGCAGACATTAAACAAATAGACAAACACGGTAATTATAGATAGTGATAAGTAACATAAAGGATGATAGAATGGGGGAAGAGGCACAGCTTTAGATAGAATTGTCAGGAAAGTTCTGTCTGAGTAAGTGACTGTTAGCTGGGCCCCAAAGAATGAGAAGGAGCCAGATATGCAGAGAGCAAAGGGAAGAGCACACCAGGCAGAGGAGAGAGCAAGTGCAAAGGCTTTGAGGCAGGAAAGGGCTTGGCCTGTGAGAACAGCAGAGAGGCCAGTGTGGCCAGAGCATAGTAAGAGAAAGGTGCTGTAGTATGAGGAGTCTCTGGGTGGTGCAAATGGTTAATGTGCTCGGCTGCTAACTAAAAGGTTGGAGGTTCAAGTCCACCCAAAGGTGCCTTAGAAGAAAGGCCTGGTGATCTACTTCTGAAAAATCAGCCATTGAAAACCCTATGGAGCACAATTCTGCCTTGTCACATATGGGGTCGCCGTAAGTCAGAGTCAACTCAACAGCAACTGGTTTGGTTAATATAAGGCAATGTTGGAGAGGTGGGCAGGGGCCATATCTTTTGGGGTCTTGTAAGAAATTTGGATTTTATTTCATGAGCTCTTGAAGGGTTGTAATTGGAGGAGTGACATGGTTTTATTTACATCTAAGTGCCGAATGAGTGAGGCTCAGCAGACTGTAGCAGTCCTCCGGGTGAGGGTATGGACTTGGACTGAGGTGAGGTCACAGTGAGGGGATGGAGGTGGGAATGGCAGGCCCTGCTGATGCATTAACCTCCTTGCTTCTAAATACTACCAGACTTTATCAGGACTGGCATGTGGTCTTAAGAAGATTGGCCTGAGGAAGAGAGACTAGAGGACAGGGTACAGCAGTGATACAAATGTGAGTGGTGAAGACTCAAACAACAGTGACCGCAGGCAAAAGGGAGCAGGGGGTGAATAGGAGAGTGATTTCTGATCGGCTCTAGGGGAGGAGGGGAAAGATAAAAAAGATGAATTCGTCTTTCTGTTCTGAAAAATAGCTGCCACACCTCACGTAAGAGGGAGAGTGAGCAGGTCTAGAGGGAAAGTGGGGTGTTGGGGTGTGTCTTGCAGTTAAAGTAATGGTGCGTTCACTCAACAGCCATGTTTTAGCTGGTGAGGGTTGTTGGTACAGACCCAAGTCATCAGATGTGGTGGCTATGACGGTCCAGGTGAGGTGAGAAAATGGACTATCAGGGACAGAGTGCAGGCAGAGAAGAGCAGAGGGCTGCAGAGCTGGGGGGTTAGAGAACAGTTTGGACAAGTGGCAGGAAAGAAGTAGCCTGTGAAGGGGGAAGATTAGCAATGTCTGGGAGCACTGAAGCCGAGGTGAACACCAGAGGGAGTCAAGACAGATACATTAGTAGAAGCTTAGGAGACCTCTCTCGGGCTACCTACAAGTGAGACAATATACTATTCCCCCCACGCAACACTGCCAAAGACAGCATCTTTCCTCTGCGATCTATCACATGACACCATCACAGTCAATTTTGCTTTGATTGTTGCATAACAGGAAATTTTGATTAATTGGATTCTGCATTAATTTCATCTCTGAAGTCGGGTGCAAGGTTAAATATGTATTTTATATTTTATAATTATTTGTTCCCTATTAGGAATAAATATAAGAAATGGCATACTTCCAAATCCAGGCAAGGATTTTATTCCATCTAATCCATGGTCTAGTTCTGGTTTGTCTGGAAAATCTTCAGGGACGGTATCAGTAATCAGCAAAATAAATTCAGGTGAGCTATGATTCTTAACTCTTAAGATACAAAAAGCAAATTATATGGATATGGTGAGATGGGTGCAGAGAGACGTGAGAAAAGTTGGAGAATCATGAGGGCCTCTTTTCTCTCTGTTGGCAGCAGGCCCTGGGGACTCAGCCAGCTCCTACTGGGGTCTCCCCTCAAGAGTAGCTGGGGAGTAGAGCATAGTCTCCTCTTGCTCAAGGGAAAACAAAGATAACTTACAAAGTCTGACTGCTGAGGCCCTGGGCTGCAGAGGCTGACCTCCTGCGATGGAAGTCAGTCTCTGCGTTGTTCCAACGCCTCCCCTCCATGTGGTGATCCAGCCTTAGGCCCAGGACATCGAAATCCCTTCAGATTGGAAGGTGGACTGGAAGGCCTTTTGTTTGTTTTTTTCAAATGGATGAAGGAATGTCATAAGACTTCAAGGCTGATTGACCCCTGTCTCAGTAGAGCAGTCGTCTGCGTGATTTTTCCCTAACACAGGCAGGCCCTGCTTCCTTGTCTACATTGCCAAGGAAACATGTGGACTTCACTTCTCCCTGCCTTTGTCCATTATGTGCCGATTTATTTTAAGAAATACAAAAAAGAAAAAGATAATACATCAACATCCATGTACCCACCACCCAACTTAAGAAATTAAACTTTGCAAATACACATGAAGAGAAGTATCTAGCCCTCTCCTTCCTCCCTCCCTCCCTCCCCACTGGCCTGATTTAGGTGTTTATTATCCTCATGCATGTTTTCGTTTATTTATTTTACTATATGTGAAATATATAGTATGGTTTTTCATGTTTTAAATTCATATGAATATGATCCTGGATCTCCAGTTCACTCATTTGAATAAATAGATCTGTGTGTGTGTAGCAGTTATACACACACACATATATTCCATACCATACCATAATTTATTATTTATACTACATCATAATTTATCTCTTCTCTTCTTGATGAACATGTAGGTTGTTTACAATTTTTGCTATTAGAGTACTGAAATGGACATTGTTGTACCCTTGTTGTTGTGCCTATGTGTGAGAGTGTCTCTGGGTATAATAACTAGTAGGAGTAAATATTTTAGGTTAAAGGGTGTACTCATCTCCAACTTTACAGATCTTGCCAAATTGCTCTCCAGCAGGGTATGGGAGTTACGCTGCATCCTTGATGCCATTTGGTACTGTCAAGATTGCAAATTTGTGCTAATCTGCATGTGAAATGTTTATCTTATTGTGGTTTAAACTTGCATGTCCTGTTTACTAATGAGATTGAGCATCTTTTCTGGTGTTTATTAACCATAAGTGTCTTCCCTTTTGTGACTTGCCTCTTCAACTTCACTACTCATTTTTCTTTCTATTTATTTACTCACAAAAATGCAAAATGTGCTCCATCTGACCAACACAACTCCTCCCAGACCTTCTTCCCACTCTGCCTTTAGCAATTTCCAGGAACACTCTGTGTTGCAAAGACAAAGAGCAATTCTTGTTAACTCTTTTTCTAACAGATATAACTTCTGTTTATATAATGGCCAGTAATAACATTCTTCATTATTCCATGTATAATTTTAAGCTTTAATAACAAGGGTTATAGATATTCATTTATGCATCCAATATATATTGATTACCTACTATTTGCAAGGCACTCCATTAACCTCCTAGAATACAAAGATGCGTAGTACGCAGTTCCTGCCACTAACACACTTTCAATATGTAAATGCCATAAAAGTGAATTTATTTAGTATATTTTAATAGTGGGTAATTTTCATGATTATAAAAATAACACATGAAGATTTATTGACAAGAATATTTGGTGTAGTTGTGTAATAGCTAAGTAACCAAGATAATGTGTATGTTGATCCATAAGAGAATAGCCATATTCTAGAATTTGTAAACACTGACATGGAAAGATAAGTAGTCGATATTATAGAGTGAAAAAAAGCACATTTCAGAGTAGAGTAAACCTACTTTTATAAGAAAAGAAAAATGTCAAAATTAACAACTTCCATTTGGTTGCAATCTACAGGTATAGCGCTGTCTGTGCCCCCCCAGTCTTTCTGACAGTGTGGCATGGTGGAATGCGCTGCTCAGAATTCACTAGCGTTTTCATTCGAATTCTTCTTTTTCCCCTAAAAGGAAAAACTTAACTCTTGATTGTTCTGCACCGCTATCGTTTATCCCTGCTTGTGTCATGCCTACGTGCCTTTGTAATAATGAGCTTTTGCTTTTGCAAATCAGTTGGTTCCAGCTCTACAAGTTCTAGTGGACTGACGGGAAACTACATCCCTTCCTTTCTGAAAAAAGAAATCGGCTCTGCTGTGCAGAGGGTACACTTGGCACCTATTTCAGATCCTTCCCCTGGTAAGTTCTATTTCAGTTTATTCATGAATTCATTCAATAAATAGTTATAAAGCAACTTGCTCTGTGCCAGTCATGTTGTAGGCCCACGGATAGTGAATGAGAGAGACAAAAGCCCACTCTTAATTGTGGATGGAGAGACAGACAGCAGTAAGCTAGATAAGTATAACATATAGTATATCAGATGGTCATAAGGGCTAAGGAGAAACATAAAGCAGGCAGGAAGTAGGGATTGTGGGGGTTGAAGTGCGGGGTGTAGTTTTCAGTTTTTGATAGGGTAGACAGAAAAGGGTTCGCTGCACAGAGGATATTGAGTAAAGATCTGAAGGAGGTGCATGAGGGAGCCATGCAGTGTGGGAGAGTTCCAGACGCAGGAATCTTAAGTGCAAGAGCTTTGAGAGAATAGCAAGGAGGCCAGAACGTAAGAGTGGCATGAGTGAGAGAAGGAGTAGAAAGGAGTCAGAGATGACGAGAGGTCTGATGGTGTTGGCCCTGTGGGCCACCGTAAGCAGTTTGTCATTTCCTCTGAGCGACACTGGAGCCATTGGAGGGTTTTGAGCAGGGGAGTAACGTGATCTGACTTCCATCTTAACAGGCTTGCTCAGGTTCCTGGTTTTCACTGTACTGAAGGGGAGCAAGATGGGAAGCAGGGAAACCGACTAGGTAGCTATTGCAGTTATCCAGGCAAGAAATGACACTGGCTTGGACCAGGGTGGTAACAGTTGAGGTGGTAAAATATTATCAAGTTTTGCCAACAGGATTTGCTGACAAATTCTAAGTGGGATATGAGAAAAAGAGAGGGTTCATGAATGGCACTAATATTTTGTGTCCATGTTGTGCAGTGACAACTATAGAATGGGCTTGTCCTTAATTGAGATAGGGAAGACTGGAAGAAAGATCAGGGGCTCAGTTTGGGGCATGCCTAGTTGAGATACCTGTTAGATATCCAAGTGGAAATGTTGAATAGGCACTTGGGTATGTGATTCTTGATCTCAGAGGAGTGATCTGGGCTAGAGATATGAATGTGGGAGTCACGAGTTTATAGATGGGAGGTAAAACCACGAGTCTGGATGCGAGCACCAAGGAGATGAGCATGGGTGGAGAAGTGAGGAGGGCCAAGGATTGAGCCCTGGGACCACTACAGTATTAAGAGGTTCGGGTGATGAGAAGGAGCCAGAAAAGGACAAGCGAAGGGCAATCTATAGGTTGGACGGAGACCAGGAGAGTGGTGTCCTAGAACCAAATGAAGTGCTTTAAGGAGGAGGGAGAGATCATGCGTGTCAGTTGCTGCAGAGAAGCTGAAGAAGATGAGGACCAAGAAATAACCATTGAATTTAGCAATGAGGGGTTATTGTGCCCTTGACAAGAAAAGTTTCAGAAAGTATTAAACTGATAGGGGATTCAAAAGAGAATATGTATATATTAAAAACCATTGAATTGTACACTTTTTAAATGGGTGGATTTTATTTATGGTATGTAAATTATATCTCAATAAAGTGGTTTAAAAAGGGAAAGAATAAACCAAAACCCATTGCCGGCCTGTAGTACACAGTAGAACTGCCCCATACAGTTTCCAAGGCAGATTGCCACATCTTCTCCCTCGGAGCAGCTGATGGGTTTGAACCACGGTTAGCGGTCGCACATTTAAACACTGTGACACCAGAGCTCCTTAAGAGAAAGAATAGGTACTTATTAGGAAAAATTGTAACTTTACAGTAGTGAGACCTGGTGGATACCACCTTCACCAGGTGATCAAACCAAACATCCCCAATGTTGGGACAAGCCAACATTGTGTGCCTTCTAATAAGATGCAGCCTTCCTTCCGTGGTTTTCCTGCCAAAGCCACAGAGCATGAATCTCATGAGGAAACAGACAAACTCAGGTAAAGGGATAATCTGCAAAAGAACTGGCCTGTGCACTCAAAAAATGTCAGTATCAAGAAACACAAAGAAAAGCTGGGGAATTGTTCCACATTAAAGGAAGCTAGAGATATGACAACTAAATGTAACAGATGATTGAATCTTGGACCAGGGATATCACAATTGAGGCAACTGATAAAAACTGGATGAGATAAATCTATTACATCAATGCTAAATTCCCGATTTTGGTAACTGTACTATGGTTGTGTAAGAGAATGAATTTGTTCTTAAGAAATACACACTGAAGTATAAGGGGGAAAAGTGTATTGTGTCTCCAATTTATTTTCAAATGATTTAAGAAAAAAATGCATATATAGTTAAAGTAAGTGGGGAGAATGTAAGCAACTGATAAATCTATGTTAAGAATATATGGAAGTTTCTTGTATTCTTCTTGCAACTGTTTTGTAAATTTAAACTATATCAAAATAAAAAGTTATAAGAAAAAAAATAGGAATAGAAATAAGAGAGAACAAATATAGTTGTTGTTATTAGGTGCCGTTGAGTTGGTTCCGACTCATAGCGACCCTGTGTACACCAGAATGAAACACTACCCAGTCCTGCACCATCCTCACAGTCCTTGCTATGTTTGAGCTCATTGTTGTAGCCACTCTGTCAATCCATCTTGTAAAGGGTCTCCCTCTTTTTCACTGACCCTGTCCCTTACCAAACATGATGTCTTCCTCCAGGGACTGGTCCCTCCTGCTAACATGTCCAAAGTATTTAAGACGAAGTCTCGCCATCCTTCCTTCCAAGGAACACTCTGGCTGTGTTTCTTCCAAGACAGACTTGCTCATTCTTCTGGCCATCCATGGTATATTCAGTATTTCTCGCCAACACCATTATTTGAAGGCGCCAATTCTTCTTTGGTCTTCCTTATTCAGTGGTCCAGCTTTAGTGTGCATGAGGCGATTGAAAATACCATGGCTTGGGTCTGGCGTACCTTAGTCCTCAAGGTGACATCTTTGCTTTTTAACACTTTAAAGAGGTCTTTTGCAGCAGATTTCACCAATGCAGTACCTCCTTTGATTTCTTAACTTCTGCTTCCAAGGGCTGTGATTGTGGATCCAAGTAACTGCAATCTTCTCTCCGTTTATCATGATGTTGCTTATTGGTTCAGTTGTGAGGATTTTTCTTTTTTTTTTTTTAGGTTGAGGTATAATACGTACTGAAAGCTGTAGTCTTTGATCTTCATTAGTAAGTGCTTCAAGTCCTCTTCACTTTCAGTAAGCAAGATTGTGTCATCTGCATATCGCAGGTTGTTAATGAGTCTTCTACGAATCCTGTTGCCACGTTCTTCTTCATACAGTCCACCTTCTCAGATTATTTGCTCAGCATACAGATTGAATAGGTATGATGAAAGGATACAACCCCAACCCACGCCTTTCCTGATTTTAAACCACACAGTATTCCCTTGTTCTGTTCAAATGACTGCCTCTTGGTCTATGTACAGGTTCCACATGAGCGCAATTAAATGTGCTGGAATTCCCATTCTTTGCAGTGTTATCCATAATTTGATATTCAAACACCTATGTATAGTCATTAAAACACAGGTAAACATCTTTCTGTTATTCTCTGCTTTCAACCAAGATCCATCTGACGTTGGCAGGGATATCCCTTGTTCCACAACCTCTTCTGACTCTGGCTTGAATTTCTGGCAGTTCCCTGTCAATATACTGCTGCACTCATTTGTGAACTATCTTTAGGAACGTTTTACTTGTGTGTGATATTAATGATGATATTCGGTAATTTCTGCAATCTGTTGGATCACCTTTCTTTGGAATGGGCACATATATGGATCTCTTCCAGTTGGTTGACCAGGTAACTGTCTTCCAAATTTCTTGGCATAGACAAGTGAGCGATTCTAGCACTGCATCCATTTGTTGAAAGATGTCAACTGGTGTTCTGTCAGTTCCTGGAGCCTTGTTTTTCGCCAGTGGTTTCAGTGCACCTTGGACCTTTTCCTTTAGTACTGTCGGTTCTTGATCACATGCTACCTCCTGAAATGGTTGAATGTCAACCAATTCATTTTGGTACAGTGACTCTGTGTATTCCTGCCATCTCCTTTTGATGCTTCCTGCATTGTTCAATAGTTTGCCCCTAGAATCCTTCAGAATTATAACTCAAGGCCTGAATTTTTTTCTTCAGTTCTTTCAGCTTGAGAAACGCCTAGCGTGTTCTTCCCTTTTGGTTTTCTAACTCCAGGTCTTTGCACGTGTCATTATAATACTTTGTCTCCTCAAGCTGTCCTTTGAGATCTTCTGTTCAGCTCTTTTAAATCATTATTTCTTCCATTTGCTTTAGCTACTCTACATTCAAGAGCAAGTTTCAGAGTCTCTTCTGATACCAATTTTGATCTTTTCTTTCTTTCCTATCTTTTTAATGACCTTTTGCTTTCTTCATGTTATGATGTCCTTGATGTCATCCCACAGCTTGTCTGGTCTTTGGTCATTAGTGTTCAGTGCATCAAGTGTATTCTTGAGATGGTCTCTAAATTCAGGTGGGATATACTCAAGGTCATACTTTGACTCTTGCGAACTTGTTTTAATTTTCTTCAGCTTCAACTTGAACATGTATATGAGGAATTGATGATCTGTTCTGTAGTTGGCCCCTAGCCTTGTTCTGACTGATGATATTAAGCTTCTCCATCGTCTCTTTCCACAGATGTAGTTGATTTGATTCCTGTGTCTTCCAACTGATGAGGTCTATGTGTATAGTCGCCATTTATGTTGTTGAAAAAAGGTATTTGCAATGAAGAAGTCGTTGCTCTTTCAAAATTCTATCATATGATCTCTGGCGTCGTTTCTGTCACCAAGGCCACCTTTTTCAACTACTGATCCTTCTTCGTTTCCAACTTTCAGATTCCAATCGCCAGTAATTATCAATGCATCTTGATTGCATGTTTAATCAATTTCAGACTGCATAAGTTGGTAAAAATCTTCAATTTCTTCGTCTTTGGCATTAGTGGGTTGATGTGTAAATTTGAATAATAGTCATATTAACTGGTCTTCCTTGTAAAGTGTATGGATATTATCCTATCACTGACAGCATTGTACTTCATGATAGATCTTGAAATGTTCTTTTTGATGATGAAAATGATGCCATTCCTTTCCAATTTGTCATTCCCAGCATAGTAGACCACATGATTGTCTGATTCAAAATGGCCAATACCAGTCCATTACAGCTCACTAATGCCTAGTTTATCGATCTTTACACGTTCCATTTCATTTTTTAAGATTTCCAGTTTTCCTAGATTCATACTTTGTATATTCTGATTATTAATGGAGGTTTGCAGCTGTTTCTTCTCATTTTGAGTGATGCCACATAAGCTTATGAAGGTCCCGAAGGCTTGACTCCATCCACATCATTAGGGTCGATTCTGTTTTGAGGAGGCAGCTCTTCCTTAGTCCTATTTTGAGTGCCTTCCAACCTGAGGGGCTCATCTCCGTCACTATACCAGATAATGTTCTACTTCTATTCATAAGGTTTTCACTGGCCACTTTTTTAAGAAATAGATTGCCAGATCCTTCTTCCTAGTGTGTCTTAGTCTGGATGCTTCACTGAAACCTTTCCACCATGGGTGACCCTGCAAGTATTTGAAATACTGGTGCTATAGCTTCCAGCATCACAGCAACACACAAGCCACCACAGTACGACAAACTGACAGTTGAGTGGTGGTTTCATGTTGGGATGATTTCTCTTTATAGCTGAGTAATACTTCGTTGCGTGTATACCACGTTTTGTTTATCCATTCATCTGTTGATGGACATGTAGGTTTCTGACTTTTGGCAATTGTGAATAGTGCTGCAGTGAACAAGGATGTACATATGTCTGTTTGTGTTGCTGCTTTCAAGTTTCTGGTTCATAATGATAGCTCTGTGTTTAACTTTTTGAGGAACTGCCAAGGCAGAGGGTTTGGAGACCATCTTCCTTCCTGAGAAAGACGGGGATTAAAGCAGGAAGAGCACAGTTTATAGTTCAGGCATACTTGGGGTCAAGCCCCTGTTCATGAGGCAGTGTGGGTCAAAACGCAACAGTGACTATTGTAATACTCATCATTAATGATGATGCCTAAGTGGACGTTGTTGCCCAGCCAGTGCCCCAAATAACTGTAAAAGAGCAGAACAGTGGTGCTGGGCTATTTATCAGTCCCAAACTGGTGGTCAGACTGAAAGGAAGACATAAGTGGTTCTAGTGAAAGGAGGGCCTGAAGCCTTCATCTGCATTGGTTCACAGTTGCCTGGCAACTGGCTGAGGCTATAGTGGGCTGTGTTTAACCATAACGCAAAACCAAAAGTGACCTGTTGTCTTGGTGTTACCGTTCTTTCTCTGAGCTATCTGCGTATGAAATAAAGACCTGAAGATAAAAACATTCACTCTGCCAAATCCCTCTGGCCCCATTAGAACATTTATACGCTAGATTAACCGTCCCTCATCCCAACATGAAACATTTCCTAAACGTGCCACTGCCATCAACCTTACCAATGTTAATGATGAAGATGTAGGGTGAGTGGAGGGAGGTCTTATCAGGGCCCTGGAGCTTGTATAAGGAGCTCTGACAGGGAGAGACTTCTCAGGGGCTTCCTGAAATCCACAGCACTATCTAGTACGAGGTCTGGACGCTTTGGGGATCATAGCAACTATAAACCATCTGTGTAAGAGAGAGAGAATGAATGAATACTGTTCAGCTTCCTCACTGCTACGTCTATGATATTCTTTTTTCTATCAGAGAAATTCCCTTAGGATTCCTTTTCACTGGAAATTTGCCTTCCTAATTCTTCCAAAGTCTCCAATTTGGAGAAATAATATTCCTTTTTACTGACAAATTCTGACATTTATAAGCTGAGTAACCTTAAGCCAAACTGCGCTGCCACCCTCCCCGGGCTCAGTTTCTTCATTTGCGAAGTGGGGATAATGCCTACTGTCTTAGTCATCCAGTGCTGCTACAACACAAATACCACAAGTGGATGGCTTTAATAAAGAGAAACTTATTTCCTCACAGTTAAAGTAGGCTAAAAGTCCAAATTCAGGGCATCACCTCCAGGGGAAGGCTTTTTCTCTCTGTCGGCCTTCTTCTCTTCCGTGTTCCCCCGGACTAGGAGTTTCTCTGCGCAGGGACCCCAGTCCGAAGGACGTGCTCTGCTCTCAACACTGCTTTCTTGATGGTATGAGGTCCCCAACCCTCTACTTGCTTCCCTTTTATCTCTTGAGAGATAAAAGGTGGTGCTGGCCACACCCCAGGGAAACTCCCTTTACATTGGATCAGGGATGTGACCTGGGTAAAGGTGGTGTTACAGTCCCACCCTAATCTTCTTTAACGTACAATTACAATCACAAAATGGAGGCCAGCCACACAATTCTGGGAATCATGGCCCAGCCAAATTGATACATTTTTGGGGGGACATAGTTCAAACCATGACACTCCACCCTTTGGCCCCCAAAAATCACATCCTTGCAACATGGAAAACATATTCACCCCAGCATATCATAGCAAAAGTCTTAACTCCAAGTCCAAAATCCAAAAATTCCTCTTCATCTGTGAAATCTAGAATACAAGTTACTTGCCTCCAAAGGTACAATGGCAGAACAGGCACAAGCTAGACACTTCCATTACAAATGGGAGAAACTAGAGGAAAAGAAGTGATAACAGGCACCAAGCAAGTCAGCAGAACACATTGCATTAGTCCTCAAGGCTTTGAAAATAATCCTGTATTCTCTGAGACAATTTACACAATAGCCCTGCCCTCCAGACTATGGGTATTGGCCACAGTCTCCGGATTTTGAGTAGAGACCCCTTGGCCCTGGGCTGCAGCTCCACCATCCAGGCCAACTGGGAGAGCAACTCTGCTCCCTTGGCTTTAGGCACACCATTCTTGTACTCCATCGGAATGACAACTCCACCCTTAGAAACACCAGAGGCCATGGCTCCACCCTTTGAAACCCCTGAGGTCAGCTCAGCTTCTTGTGTCCCTTGTCTCTTCAGCCTCTGCTTCTGTTTCCTGTGGCCTCTCGGCCCTCGGGCCTCAAGCCCGTATCTGCTCTGTTGGGGCAAGTGTTCCAAAGCTCAGTAGCTCCACCGGTAAGTGCCCGGAGGCACCCCACTCCGCCAGGAAGCCTCCTGCTCACAGGCAGTCAGCTCTCTCGCTCCGTGGGTCGGCTCCAGCGCCGTCTTGCACCGGTCTCCTGGTTCTGCTGCTGTTGGTTCTCTGCTGCTGCCGCTTGTCTGCCACTGCAGGTTCTCCGCTGTTGCTGGTCCTCTGTCACTGCCGCCCCTCCGTCCATTCACAGTTTCAAAACCACTTCCACATTTTAGGTATCTGTTAGAGCAGCACCCCACTCCCGGTACCAAATTCTGTCTTAGTCATCCAGTGCTGCTACAACAGAAATACCACAAGTGGATGGCTTTAATAAAGAGAAACTTATTTCCTCACAGTTAAAGTAGGCTAAAAGTCCAAATTCAGGGGATCAGCTCCAGGGGAAGGCTTTTTCTCTCTGTCGGCCTTCTTCTCTTCCGTGTTCCCCTGGACTAGGAGCTTCTCTACGCAGGGACCCTGGTCCAAAGCACGCACTCTGCTCCCAACACTGCTTTCTTGATGGTATGAGGTCCCCAACCCTCTACTTGCTTCCCTTTTATCTCTTGAGAGATAAAAGGTGGTGCTGGCCACACCCCAGGGAAACTCCCTTTACATTGGATCAGGGATGTGACCTGGGTAAAGGTGGTGTTACAGTCCCACCCTAATCTTCTTTAACGTACAATTACAATCACAAAATGGAGGCCAACCCCACAATTCTGGGAATCATGGCCCAGCCAAATTGATACACACATTTTTGGGGGGACATAATTCAAACCATGACACCTACCTTGCAAGGTTATTGTGAAGATTAGAAATAACATACATATAGTCTCCAACAACACAGTAGCTGTTTACTAAACAGTGGTTTTTTTTTTATGATTACTGATATAAAAATAAATGACAGTATGTCAACAAATATTAGCTACTCTGAGACCTTGAATGGAAGGCAAAATATTCCTGTTAAAGTTTTCTTATCTTCTAACATTTTTGTCACCAAGATGCAGTAACCTGCAGTTTGCTTGCGTGAGTCCTGTATCAATCTGGCCATCCTTTCTCTGTCGTGTGCAGGTTATTCGTCTCTGAAGACTGTGAGACCTCATCCTGGGCGACCCTTTTTCCACACTCAGCCTCGAAGCACTCCTGGGCTGATGCCCCGGCCCCCGGCTGCCCAGCCGGTGCATGGCCGGACGGACTGGGCCTCCAAGTACGCATCTCGGCGATGATTGCTGTGAGGCGCCTTGTAGGGAAAGGAGGACACTTTCCCGTGGCTTTCTGTGGTATTTTACCTGCAAGAAATGTTAGGACAATGGAAAATGAACACTTTATAGTTAACTTCTGAACGGAGACATTTCAATCTTCTTTTTTTTTTTTAAGTTATTCCTTTTTTTAAATATTGATTTGAAGGCAATACCCTTTTTTTGTACAAAATTATTCTAAAACTGGGTCCTGTTATTTTCTTAAATAGCAGCATTTTGTATATATGGATTATGTTGGGATTTTATACAGTCAACTTTGCAATGAATTTTTTAAAGGTTAATTGATTTTTCTTTGGGTTTCCAGATAATATTTTATACAGATTTTTAAAAATGTAATGAAATTGATGCAGTATTGCAACAGGGGTACAATTTTGGGTTATGTGATAAAAGGTTATTTACTCAATATGTGTGGATATTCTTGAAGTGGTTGAATTTTAAATGTGGCACACTTGGTACTTCAGGCTTTCTTAGACTGACATTAGCACTAGAAAAGTGATCACCTGTTTTTCTCGACATCATGTCATGTCATTGGTTCGATTTTTTTGACACCACGGTGCTGTTCCGAAAGTACCAGCTATTGTGTAATTTATTTTGTTGTTATTTCTCATACTTTTTAAAATGTTTACAAAATGGTTGCAAAAATTAAGATGATTGGAGGTACCCAAATGAAGCCAAGTGTAATCATACGATGCCATCACATTCTTTTTTTCCTTCATTTTTGAAATCAAATTTGTAAGTACACACAAAAGAGGAGCTTTTCAAGTCAAAATGTTCTCAACATAAAGGTTACCACAGTCGTTTACACTTCTATCCCTGCCAGGATGCATGAGCAAGAAGCTAAGTTTCAAAGCAGCAGAAGATTTTTTATGATAATAACTGATGGAATCATGCATTCAGCTCAGTTCTCCAGACCTGGTTAGGAGCAGACAATGAATAAGTTTCTGCCCTAGTTGCATTCTCAGGGCAGTCTGGGAGGAGGGGGGATTTATGACAAAGGCCTCACTTCTTCGGGAAGTCTGAACTACCACCATATAAGTGTTCGTAGCACCACATTTGTACACTTAACCGTTATGTAGCTCCTTTCAGCAGTGAGGAGAACTCTATTATATTGGGCACAGGCTGTTATATTGAGATGAATGTTTACAACAGTTTTGACAATGACAAAGCTAGTTTGGAGACAGAAAAAAAGTCCACTATTATCCATCTCTATACATCACGTTTGCTTCCACTCACGGTTACTTGAAAGGCTCAAAAGGCAGGAGGGAAGATCACCACCAGGGAATGCAATATTATTTCAACAGTATATTGACTCATATTTTCCTAGAGCTCAAGCTACTCTTTGGGGTCACCAGATTCCAGGATATAGCAAGTTGAACCCTATAAAATTATCATATTTGTAGGTTAATATGATAAGTTAAAATAAATATTGGCATTTTCATATGGTTCAACCTAATAAGTCAGTACATTATTGCTTTGGTGTATTAATACTGTGTTGCAGCCTGAATGAGTTAGCATGGCTTCCAAAGGGCCCTAACCTAACATCAGGGAGTAATTTATGCTTTGGAGAATCTGGCTAAAAAATACACATGACTAAGCAACTATGATCCCTACAGGAATGAGAAAAGTACATGATGGATGTGGATTTGATAGGTAGTATTTTCCTGTTAACAAACTGGCAGCAAAGCTTAAGAAATTACATATATATATATATATGCAAGCACAACTTGAAGCTGAATTCATTTCTGTATTATACTCTCAACTCATTATCTAAAGCAGCAGAAAATGTGTTTTCAGAGATGAGCCCTTTACTATAATGTTAATATTTATTTTTCCTTTCTGTATTATGTATAAAAAGTAAGTTTATCTGAAACCTTACTTGGCTTGTTGGAAAGCTGGTTTTTAATTGTAAATACGCCCTAGAGGAGCAAATGGATTGTGAATACCATATTCTTGGCACTCTAGCTTATGTTTAGATTTTTTAAATTGAAAAACCTAGTTGTCTGGTTATTACACACCATAAAATTGTTTTTCTAATACTTTTTCAGAGCCCAACTTTGGAAAAATATTTCACTTTTCTTCCTACTTTCCTCTCCTTTGTTTACCAGCAAACACCTTCCCTTGGGAAGCCAAACACACTTATTCATACAAAAGTGAAGAAACGGATGCACAGCTGAGAAAACTAGAAGACCAAAAAGCAACCTAAATTCTAAAGAACTAGCAAAATCTTATGAAGCACTCTTTTTCCCCCAAACGAGAAAGAACAAATAGTATATTCAAGCTATGTACTATAGAAGGGAATCATGACCATTTTTTGTTAAGTGAAAATAAAATGCCGCGTGCTGCGTATATTTTTAGTGACTACAGAGTTATATTTATTTCTAATGCAAGACAACAGGAATGATGAGTTGTAACTTCACCTATCTATGACTCTACCTCTTGTTCATCAGAAAGCTTTCCAAGACGTCAGAAGATGGTACAGGGTTGGCTCTCATTCCGTGCCCAGAGGTTCAGTGACAATGGCGGATCCCACCTAGACCATGAACAGTAAGGAAGCTACCATTTGCATAAAAGCTACATTTGGGATGCTAATTCTTGTTACAATAAAATTCCATTAAGTACAGGAGCCCTCACCCAGTTTATATAAGGATTTATGTTGGAAGAAAATTGATTTTCAAACAATTCCTTAGACACATCTCTTGCCTAGAAGATTATAGACATCTAATAAAGTTACGCTACGTCCTCTACTGGAGTTAGCAAAAATTGAATCAAGGCAACACATATGAAAGAAAACAAGAAATGTTATGTTTTTAAGTAAGTGCAAATACAGGTAATCTTGGAGCACCAGGTTTTCTCATGAAGTAGCATTTCCTTACCATTAAGCCATTGCTCTGTGCCGTTTAGGGGGAGAAAAAGAAGAGAATACAGGCTGTATGTTACAGCTCAATGTATGACCAAAAGCAGTTATGTTTGTGAGAAAATGTTTGACATGCAAATGTTTTATATCATTTAAACATACTGTAGCAACTTATTTGTTTAATGTTAATTTTTAGAAGGATTTAGAATGATTTTTACACTTTTTAACCAAATGTACAGTAATTTTATATAATTTATTATGAGGACCTTCATATGGGAACCATTAAGAAGACAGACTGGAGGCAAATGTCACAATCTGTATTATCAGTTTCTTACAGATACTGTGCTAATGTGAATTTAAAATGACCTGAACAAAGTCTTCTGATCTCAGATATCTCAGCTTGGTCATTTGATTTGATTATAAAGGAATAAATAACTGAGACTATATTTATTTATAAAGCAAATATTCATAATAATGAAAAGATAGGGCAGAAAATCCTTAAGCAAGACCCTTCTGAAATAAAATGTTGCTTTTTTAATAGTTTGTCTTAAGGTGTTTAAGAACATTAATTAAATTTATGTAAGGAAAATTCTCCTGCCCCAAATAAAGTTACAGTTTAAGAAAAATTTGAGTGTTCTGTTTTTGTTTTTGGGTTCTTCCATCAGAACATTGTTGTTAGGTGCCATCAAGTCAGTTCCCACTCATAGCAATCCTGTGTACAACAGAATGAAACACTGCCCGCTCCTGCGCCATCCTCACAATCATTGCTCTGTTTGAGCCCATTGTTGCAGCCACTGTGTCAATCCAACTCGTCAAGGGTCTTCCTCTTTTTTGCTGACCCTCTACTTTACCAAGCATGATATTTTTCTCCAGGGACTGGTCCTTCCTGATAACATGTCCAAAGTATGCGAGACAAAGTCTTGGCACCCTTGCTTCCAAGGAGCATCCTGGCTGTACTTCTTCCAAGACAGATTTGTTCGTTCTTCTGGCAGCTTACAGTATATTCAGTGTTCTTCGCGAACACCCAATTCAAATGCATCAATTATTCGGTCTTATTCATTTTCCAGCTTTCACATGTATGTAAGGAGATTGAAAATACCATGGCTTGGGTAAAGCACACCTTAGCATCAAAACATAACACTAGTATTGCCTAATACTAATATATTAATCTGTTTGTTTGGAATTTTGCTATTTTACAACTTCTCTTTAATGCTTTGTACAGAGTTCCTGCCCTAAAATTGGGAGCATATGCTTAGAACAGCAGTTTGAAGAGTAATCCTGCAATGTGGAGGTTTTTTAGTTCAGCGTTTCGCAAGCTAGGTGAACAGGGATTCAAACACCAGGTTGAAACAATTTCTTGTTACTGATTTCGCCATGATTAATACTACCTTATACTTTTTAACTTTTCACAGCACATTTACATAACAATATAAACCTTCAAAAGAAGCTCATAACTTCATGAAGTAGATACAGGATTCCACAAAATTGAAAGAGTTTTGTAAAACCATCATCTGTTAATCACCCCTCGTATTGGTAAATCCCTAAACGCACCCCTCACCATCAGAGAACGCTGCTGACCTTACTGTGTAGTCCTCAATATCTGTCTAACTTTTGAGCATCTCGTTGCATCCACCCTGCCCTTTCAGAAGTCCGGCAGTTGCAAGTTCTCTGACATCCTTCTTGCTATGACAACCTATTGTTAGAATAGGGTCTGACACCAGTCATTTATAGCTAAAGCTGAATTTAAGTCAATTGTTTCCCTCTTCCTTGAGTGTTCACCTATAAAGCTCCTCTTAAACTGACACTGAAAGCTCTGATTTTTGTTAAAGCTATTTACCCATTACTGGGTAGACAAGGGAGGGGTCAAAGGCAAACAGGACTTTGCAGGGCCTCTGAAAGTGTATCGGAGAGGTATATAGACACTAGGAGTAAGACTGTCCCAAGACTGAGAGTCGACTCCAAGGGTCTCCAAGAATAGGATGATTTCAGAGAATGGCAGAATTATTATAACAGGCCTTTTCATTTCCTCACAAGTCTGTGTAATAATAGAGCCTTACAATGCCGCCTTAGTTTCTCTCCCAGATAAACAAGGTTGCTAGGATTATGTTACCCCTATTTTGTTAAACTGGACATATGAAGTTGGCCATTTTTGTAAGTTAAACAAAAAAAGGTAAAAATATAAGCAATTTGATATGGTTCAACTAGTTGGAAATAATTTGATAAATGTTTAGCTAATCAGTATTTATCCAATACTGCTCAATATTTGTCCAGTCAATTTCTGGCCTCTGGTAGCTCAAGCAACATGACAAAGGGGGTGCCATGAGTTGGAATCAACTCATTGGAAACAGGTTTGGTTAGTTGTTTTTGTTTTGCCTTGTTTTTTAGTTCAAGTAAAGAAAGTCCCTGTACAAAGATTTGATGGAAAAAATGAATAAAAAGTTACCACTTTTTAGCCAAAGAGTAGAAAAGAAGGTTTCCTGTTCATGTTAAACTGAGTAATCTCTGTGTAGGTCTGAACTGATATGTGCCGTCGAGTCGATTACAACTCATAGCGACCCTGTATCACAAAGTTAGAAAGATGAAATTGAACGAATACTGTTAGCCTTGTTCGAAAATGTCTTTTCTGACTCTTGGGGTGCCCAGCCGTCCTTGCTTTGCTTCTCTTCTTACTCTACATACTTTTCCTGGGTGAGCTCATCCTTTTGCTGACCATTTGATCCATCTCAGTCCTCTCTTCTGAGTCATCACTAGCTTAGTCAGCTGTTGAGTGGACATTTCCAGCTGGATGGCTCCTAGGAACGAAAATCGTCTTATTATTATTCCCTCCAAACCTTGTTCTCTTCCCCCTCCTTTTCTTCCTTTCTCACCTTTTATGCAGCTAGAAACCTAGGCATTGTTTATTAATGCATTCATTCAGCAAGTATTCACCAAATGCCTACTCTAGTCATTTTTTCTAGGAACCAAAAAAAAAAAAAAAAAACCAAACCCGTCGCCGTCGAGTTGATTCCGACTCATAGTGATCTTATAGGACAGACTAGAACGGCCCCATAGTTTCCATGGGGCGCCTGCTGAATTCGAACTGCCAACCTTTTGGTTAAGAGCTACATTAACCACTGCGCCAAAAAGGTTTCCTTTTTAGGAACAAGGTATACAAAAGCATTTTTGAACGACAGAATTTCCTCACCTCCTGGAATTTGCATTCTAGTAAACCTACAGACAGATAAAACGAACAATACACATCCACCACTACTACCCCAGGTGGAACTCGAACCCACAATGCCTGGTTTAGGAGGTTAGTACCTTATGTATTAGTCCACTGGGGCTCGCCGGTAGTGGGTACCGTCGAGTCTATTATATGACAGAACAGAACTGCCCCACAGGGTTTCAAAGAATGGTTAGTGGATTCGAACTGCCCAGTTTTTGGTTAGCAGCCAGACGAGCTCTTAACCACCGCACCCTCCAGGCTCTGTACAGCACTCTAGAGGGTAATGTTATGGGGTGGGGGAGCAAGCAGGTGGAATAGGATGTATACATCGGAAAGCAGGCATCATACTACGCTTTTTCTGCCTTCTCCCGCTCCCTAGGACCTGATTCGTAAATTCTTTACCCTTCATCTCCTTAATATGGCTCCTTTTCTTGCCATCTTCTTCAAACCCATGATGCTACTTTAATTCACACGGACACCTAGTAGATCTCTCTTTCTTGACACCCTCAATTCATTCCTCCCACTTCTGCCAGAGAACTCTAAAAAAGAACAAAACGTGATTACGTTAGCTGCCGCAATTGTTCAGGACCACAGGATTTTCAAGAGCATGGGTGAAGACAATTATCTATGCTGAGAAATAGAAATATTTTTGAAATCCTTTTGAAGGCATGTATTTTTAACTTTAAAATCCAAGTGAATTTCTCATTTTAGTCCAGAATAGATAGACTTCATGTGTTTTTAAAGTATTAACGAAACACTTTGATTACAAACCCCCAATCCCAGGCTCATCCACGGGCCCTCTTCCTCTCATCCAGGTTCCGTGGAGATAATAAATTTAGAGAGAGAGTGTACAATATTGGTAAGAAAAGAAAAATAGAGAAGTATATATAAAGTTTTATTACTCCGAAGGAGGGTCAAAAGAAAGGCAGACTGCCACGTGCAGCGCCTCATTTGGATGTGTCTGGAGTCTTGGAAGCTTGACTACCCTACGTTCTCCTACAAATGGACCTTGAGAGCTTGTTTGGAGGTTCTAGCAGGGGAGCGCAGCTACTCGTATACCCTTGACCGAAGGACGGTCCTCTCCTCTATCGGGGAAGGTCGTCCTCTTCGACCGAGCGCGCAGCTTCGGGAGGGACGCACATGGAGCGGTGAGGGAGGAAGGGGACACCCGCCTAGCCAGCCAGATCAGCCGAATCAACCCTGGCGATCAATGGGGTGACAGATGTCGCAGCCAGATCGCCCTCACATCCGAAAACAGCGCCTGTGAGCACGCTATATAAGGCCAAAGAGAATTTTGCCTTTACACATAGGTCGAGCTGTGCGCCATGGTACCACTAGAGGAAGAATTTTTAACAAAAATCCAAATCCAAAGAGGACTATAAAGGTAATTTTATCTCTCAAAACACTAAAATTGAAGTTGAAACTGACTTTATTTTGAGCTGTTTTCACATTATCCAGAATGCCTTGCAGATGGGTGGGGTATGCTAAATATTGCCGTCTCTATTGGTGAAATTTCCTGGAGCCTCCCCACCTCGAGTGTCTTCTCGCAGCCTCGCTGCAGGCTGCTCGCCTAGCGCTTTGTGCCGCTCCCGGCCCTCAGAGCCGACTCCAGGTCTGTCTTCTTGCATCCCACGCCAGCCTTCTCCCTTCTCCCCTCCTCGTTTCTCTCTCCCCGCTCCTGTCCTTTTACTTCCCTATCCGTCTCCTCCCCAACACCACCATTCAATCCTTCTCTTTCCCTGCTGTGGCTCTGGGGTCCTCTTGCCGTTTGCATCCTGCCCCTATCTGGTGGGCCCTTGGCTGGGGTTGGAGTCATTCTTGGCTCAGGATGCTTATATTTCTTCCCTCTGCGGAATCTGGATCCGTTGGTGAAATGTGGGCTCAGATCCTCCCCGGGCCTGGCCGGGCAGCATCTGTGGTCCTGCGTGTGCTTAGCAGGGGCGCGAATTATCCCGAGTCTGGGCTCAGAGGGCAGAGTTCGTGGCCTGGACGCACGTCTCGGGGCCGGGGGTTCCTCTCCTACCGCGGGGGACGTGCCAGACCCTGGGGCAGCCATCACAGGCGTGAAGTTGAACGCATATTTTGCAGACAATTGTCATACTTGGCCTATTCACCTTCCAGTTGCTGTGATAATTAAATAAGATGTTGCGTGTGAAAGTTATGAATACTTGCCGAGGTTACAGTGGGTGTATAATTCTCCTCCGTGGCCCTCTGCATCTTGTCTCTCTAGGCTTAATTTTGAAAATCTAGGAACATTTTTCAAGGTCAAAGTATACGATGGTCTGAATCGGTGAAACACTGTATTGATATCACAGATGTCTGTCGTTGCAACAAATGGCCCCAGTTTCCCAAGATCCAGAATAAGAAATCATAAATAGAAACGCTATGAAGGCCAAGGTTTTTTTGAAATGCTTTGAATAGTGGTATGTTTTTTATTAAGTGAGGGAAAACGTAGCAACAACAGAAACCAGTTTCCTGTACCAAATCCTTGAATATTCATTTAGCCCCTGAGCACTGGGTTAAGGACATGAAATTTAGACTGTTCGTGTGCGGGGAGCTGCTACGTTTGTTTTTCAGAACCTTACAACGCCATCATGGAAGCGAGGCCCAAGCTCCACTATCCCAATGGAAGAGGCCGCATGGAATCCGTAAGATGGGCTTTGGCTGCCGCTGGAGTCGAGGTACTCTATACGCTGTTTCTTAACAAACTTGTCAGCCAATTTTGAGACCTTTGAGGGGGAAAATAAGTTTTGGAGCCCAGTTCACTCTTAGTCCCCTTTCCACCATATTGCATACATACTTCATTGCGTCAGAAGATTCCTTCCTTTCAAGTGATGTTTTTCTTTATAAATGGAACGTAGTTGATGGAATTCTGTCTTACTTTTGACTTTTGCTTAATCACTGGCTTCTGATCCACCATTAATAAATATTTATTAATTAGGAGAAAATGAATCAACTTGAAAATTTCCGGTTACTCCCATAACTTGGTAATTGGACAGTCTCATGGTGAATTGCCTATTTACATCAGTGATTTCAAACTGGCAGCTATCATGACTACATATGGGTATGCTTTGGCCCATGCAGTGTTTTTATTTTTGTTCCGCTCTTTTAATAAGAAGTTAAAACCTCTTATTATGGAAATTCTCAAATGCAAACACAAATAGAACATTACCATGAATCCCAGGTACCCATCACCCAGCTCAACAGTCATCAACTTTATACTAATCTTGTTTCATCTCTTTCCTCCCCTCCAGTTTTTTTGTGGGAGAATTTTGAAGCAAAATCCAAATATGTCTTTTCATTTGTGAATACTTCAGCATTTGTCTCTAACAGATTAGGATTTTAAAACATAGCCAGAATGCCATTATCAGACCCACAAAATCAGCGATTCCTCATTGTCATTTAACACTCAGTCTGTTTGTCTCAGATAAGACTTTTTACAGCTTTTTGTTCTAGTTTGGATTGAAACAAGGTCCACACATTACATTTGGTTGATATGTTTTGTTCTGTATTTTCTTTGTAAAATCTGTAACAGTTCCCGCTGCATTTTTTAAGTACACTTTGTATTTTAGAATACTTTTTTAGATTTACAGAAAAATTGCCAAATACTACAGAGTTCGCATTCATTCTCCCCTAATGATACATCTTCTATACCCTTCGCACATTTGTCAAAACTAAGAAATTAACATTGGTGCATGACTATTAACTAAACTACCTACTTTATTCAGATTTCTCTAGTTTTTCCTCTAATGTCATTTTACTGTTTCAAGATCTAATCCAGGGAATCACATTGCGTTTAGTCATAATGTTTCTTTAACCTGTTGCCATTGAGTCAATTTCAACTCATAGCAACTCTATAATCTCCCTTAATTTGTGCTTTCTTAGTTTTTCCCTTTTTTCATGACCTTGACAGTTTTGAAAAGTACTGGTCCAGTATTTTATTGAATCCTCCACACGTTGGGTTTGTCTGGTGTTTTTCTCCTGATTAGCCTGGGGTTATGGGTTTAGAGGAAGAATGCCACAGAGGTGAAGTGCCCTTTTCATTGCATCCTATTGGGTAACATGATGCAACACAATTTACCACTGGTGAGGTTCGCCTTGATCATTTGGTTGAGGTGGTGTCTGCCAAGTTTCTCCACTGTAAAGTTACTATTTTTCTAGCTCACACTCACGGGGAGAGGAGTTAAGCTCCATGTCTTCGCTGGGGAGTATCTATATATAATATATGGAATTCTTCTATAAGGAAGATTTGTCTCATTTCCCTCATTTATTTATTTATTCAGTGATTCATTTATATCAGTGTGGATTTATGTATGTATGTTTATTTTATATTTTGGGTTATAATCCAATAATATTTTGTTGCTCTAATTGTTTCAGCTTTGGCCATTGGGAGGTCTTTTAGGTTGGCTGTTGTGTTCCTTTGACATTTCCCCATCCTCCCTTCTCTCTCTCTGTCTATCTCTCAGCACTTCTCTACCTTCTGGCACTACGAGATGCTCTGGGATCATCTTGTAGTTACCTTGCCCTAGCCCTAGAATGAGATATTTCTCCAAGAGGCCAAGCTTGAACTCTTTTATTAGAAAATAGTATTAACCATCAAAATCTGGGTGGTGGGTGTCAATATTTTTTTTCTGATGTTGTTGCATGCCATCAAGTCAATTCCAACTCATAGAGTGCTTCATAGGGTTTCCCAGGCTGTAATCTTTACAGAAACAGATTGCCAGGTCATTTCTCCTACGGAGCTGCTGGTGAGTTTGAACCGCCAACCTTTCAGTTGGCATCTAAGTGCTTAACTGTTGTGCTACCAGAGCTCCTTTATATTGGTTTATAGTGCCGTTTATTTGTGGGAGAAACTGCCGTGTAAAATTTTCCCCCTTTCTGGATGTGGCTTATTAATTCTCAAGGTGTCATTTTAACATATTCCCCTGTTCTCTATATTTCCTGTAAACAACTAGTTGGACCCAGAGCTGTGATCAGATCCAGGCACTTTTTTTTTTCTTTCTATTGTTAAAAAATTTTTTTCCTACCAGATTACTTCAAAGGTGATGCTGTGAACATATTTCTGTTTACCACGTCAGGGGGTACATAATGTCTGGTTGTCTTGTGTTCAGTGATGCTGAGCTCTATCAGGGTGTTCACCTGACACCATTTTGAAGTTTCCCTCATTGCCCTTTCGACTAGTGGTTTTAGCAGCTATTATTGTTCATCATTGTTGTTAGAGATTATAAAATGGTGATTTCTATTCTATCATATCTATTTTTTTCTATTTCGATCGTATCTCCTGAATTTATTAACTGTGATTCTCTTATAAGGAGTAATTTTCACTTGTTCACTAATTAATTACCATGAAATTCACTGCATGTATGAAAAGCAAGATAGCTGCTTGATTCTCTTTATCAATTTTCAGAATAGAATAGACAAATGACGATTGTGAGTTTTTTTAGTTTTTAGTTTTTGTTTTTTTGAGTATCCTTGTAACTCACCACATAGTATTTTATAATTTTTATGATTAGTTGACATCATTTTTACACACAAACCCTGATTTCTGACTTATCTTGAGAAATTGGAAAATCTGGTAATACTGAGCCTTCATTTCCACAGGGCAGCAATTGCTGGATCTGAGTAAGGACTGCCCCTGGAGATGGGCCTCTCTAGTTTAACACAGTCCTCACTATTCCCTATTGCCTCAGGATGTATTTGCTAATAGTGTTAAGAAGAGAATGAAAACAATTCTTGGTTCTGTGATGTGAGGCTGGTTGACTTCACCTATTTATGTCATCTCTGTAACTGTGTAGGCTTCTGAGTTTGTAATTCTTGGTTTATTTAATAGGATTGATAATGGATATCTTCTATAATATAATCTTATGTCTAAAACGCTCTGTCCTTCCTATCTTCATTCTTCCCTGCCCTTCCCACTCCCTTGTGAGTCAAGATTCTTGGTTATAGTGATAGAAACCCAAACCTAAATAAATTCGACAAAAAAGAGCATAAGTCATATGGCCCACCACCCAGGCCCATCACAGTGGCTAGGCAGATGGGGTAGAGTAATTAGCCCAGCTTGAGTCTTGAGCCCACCTCTCTGACCAGGGTGGAGGGGACTAGGTTGGCCTCCCTCACTAGGACCAGCCACATGGTTTACAGGAGAAATTCACAAGTGGTGTTGGAGGTCCATCCCCATTTCTTTGCCAGGACATTTTAGGTAAATTTATGCTAGCATAGATCAGACACCACCAGGAGGGAAGGGCTTGCAGCCACTGAGTGTGTTCATGGTTCCCACTGTCACAGGTTGATCCTGATGTGTGTCTGAGTAGCCGGGTAACTAAAACCTTCTGAAAAGCAGTTGTTCTAATTCAGGGAGTCAGCGTTCTTAGTCTCAGTCCCTTGGTTTGAGTCATCACTGACATTGCTCTGTGCTGGTTCTTGCTCTTTGCTGCTTGGACTGCATCTGCCTAAAGATCGCAGAGAAGACCTGACAAATCACCATTGTTAAAAAGGAGATTGTTATTGTTAGTTGCTGTCAAGTGGATTCCAACTCATGGCAACCCCATGTGTGCAGAGTAGAACTGCTCCATAGGGCTTTTAAGGCTGTGACCTTTTGGAAGCAGATTGGTAGGCCTATCTTCTGAGGCACCTCTGGGTGGGTTTGAACCACCAAACTTGGCTAGTAGTCCAGCGCTTAATCGATTGCACTGCCCAGGAACTCCTAATGGGAGATTAGTGTGTGTATATATGAAAGTTTAAAGGCCACAAACTCCCTTGTTCAGAACCTCAGAAATTCACTTTGAAGAACTAAAAGAATATTGAAAAGGGGAGGGTTGTGGTATGGAAGTGGGCAGTTCTCTGAAGAGTCCTAGGTCAGAAACTGTCCTCTGGGTTAGGAAACAAAGACAATTGATTGTATGGATAGAAACCAAGATGATACATCTAATCTTGTGGCGTTGGGTAGAATTGCCAAGCTCCTCCCTCCAAGCTGTGATGGGATTCCTTTTCCCCTCATTCTCCCACCTTGGTCCCAATTTCTTTACTGACTAATAGTTTCATAAAGATTGACACTACAGAGTTATCTCTAGTGAGGGGCACATTTTGCATGTGTCCCCAAAAGTCTAGTCTCAAAAATCAGGATCAGAATCATCTGGAAGGACTTGTTTAAAAAATGATTATCTTTGGGCTCCTCCGAACTACCCAATGTCAGTCTCTGGAAGGTGGGCCTGGGTTTTAATATGCACACCCCCATTTTCCCCTGTATTTTTGTTTTTTAATAATACTTTATTGTGTTTTCAGTGAAGGTTTACACAGCAGTTTAGGTTCCCATTCAACAATTTCTACACAAGTTGTTTGTGACATTGGTTACATTGTTCACAATGCGTGAACATTCTCATTATTTCTGTCCTGGTTGTTCCATTCGCGTTAGTTTCCCTGCCCTCTTCCATTCTCATCTTTGTTTTAAAGTAATTGTTGACCGTTTGGTCTCATATAGGTGATTTTTTAAAGAGCACAGTACTTATGGGTGATAGTCATTACTTTTTGAGCCAGTTTGTTATTTAGCTACAAGGTGACCTCAGGGGTTGTATCTCAGGGCAATAGTCTCAGAGAGTCCTCCTGTCTCAACCAGTCCAGTCTGGCTTTTTTTTTTTTTTTTCCTCTCATGTCTTTTTAATGATATGATCATAAAAGTTTGAGATGCAGTAGCATAGAGAGAGAACTGTCTGTGCCACATCTGGGCACTGGGACAGATACCTGAGACTGTTGCCCTGCGACTACCGCTCAATGGGCAGGGAGCCAGCAGAGGAAGAAGGCATCAGATAGAGACTCTCTGGAGCATTGAGCCCCTCTCCTCACACCACGAGGACCGTGGCGACGAACCTAGGCCTTGTCATCCCAGTCCTTCCACGGGGGCCAACTAGTTCAGACTGAGGGGGGGGAAGGGGGGTATTGCCTGAACTGTGCCCATCTCTGCGGTCAGCACTGCCCCTCCCTCTGCTAATCTGGCAGACAAGAGTGAGAAATAATCCCGGAACTCAGGTGGAGAAGGCCTCTTCTTGATGTGAAGTGCATTCCTGCAGACCATCTTACCGAAAAAACCCCATTGCCGTCGAGTCAATTCTGATTTATAATGACCCTATGAGACAGAGTAGAACTGCCCCATGGGGTTTCCTAGGCTGTAAAGCTTTTATAGAAGCAGATTGCCACATCTTTCTCCCGCAGAGCAACTGGCAGGTTCAAACCGCCAACCTTTCTGTTCACAGCTGAGCACTTAACCGCTGCACCACAAGGGCACCTTGCAGAACATCAGTTAGACATATTTTATAAGGTCAAGAGAAGAGAACTCGTTTTCACCATTTCTTCCCCCCCCCCAACTTTTTAATTGGAAAACTTTTAACTTACAAATTGTAGCAGTACATTGGACACCTGAATTCCTTTCAACAAAATTCATCTATTGTTAACAATTTGCTACATTACTCTCTCTTTTTCTCTCCTCCTTCCCTCCTCTTTCTCTTACTCTCATTAACTCTGCTCTTTCTTTTCCTCAATCATTTGAAAGTTGCACACTTGAGCATATATCTCCTTTCTAAGAAAGGACAATGGCCCTGATAACCACAATACTATTGTCATAAGTAAGAAAATTAATAATACTTTTGTAACATCTAATATATAATCCATATTCAGATTTTCCCTATTGTCCCCAAAATGTCTATATAACTGTTGTATATGGATATAGCAGATATAACCATTCTTCTCCATCCAGGATCTAATTAAGATACATGCATTTGGTTATGTTTTGTTAGTCTCTTTCAATCTAGAACAGTACCTGCTTTTTCTTTCCCTCATGCCCTTGACCCCTATGAAGAGTCCAGGCTATTGTGTTGTGAATGTCCCATATTTTGGTTATGCTTGATTTTTACCTCGTTGATTAGATGCAGGTGAAACATTTTCAGCAAGAATTCTTTACAGGTGATGCTGCGCCCTTCCCCCCACTGGTGATGCTGAGTTTGGTCACTTGATTAAGAGATGGTGAGATTCCCCAGATCTCTCCATTGTAACTTTTCTTTTTTCATAATTAACTAATTTTTGGGGTGATATTTTGAGACTGTGTGAATATACTGTCCCCTGAAGCCCAATGATTTTAGCATCCATTTATGATTCTTATAGAATCAGTTAACTACATTGGTGGTTGCAGATTGGTGGTTTTCTAGTTTCAACACTAGTTAGCGATAATCCTACATTAATTAGTGATAATTCTTCCATAAAGAAGAGCTTTTTCTTCCCCTTCCATTTTTTTATCATCATCATCTATGAATTTATGGATGTTTTTGTTGTTGTATATTATAATCCATATCTGACATTATTCTTTTTGATGCTCAGATTGTCCCAAATTTGGTTAGTGAAGTCCCTTCAAGCAGGATACTATAAACTCAAAAAACCAAACCCATTGCCTTCAAGTGAATTCCAACTCATAGCAACCCTACAGAACTGCCCCGTAGGGATTCAAAGGCTGTAATCTTTACAGAAGCAGACTGCCACATCTCTCTTCCGCGGAGTGGCTGGTGGATTTGAGCCGCCCACCTTTCAGTTCACAGGTGAGCGCTTAACCGCTGCACCACCATGGCTTCTTAGGATACTATATAGCTTTTGACATATTCCATTAATCTTTGAGCGCCTCCTTGCTTTGTGGAATAACAAGAACTTCCCTGCCCCAGACCCAGAATCAACCTTTTCTCCTAGGAACCCTGGTCCCTTTTAGTGGGCAGTGATATTTAGAAGCTAAGATATGGGTGCTAAGTGTGCTCTTTCTCTGTACTTCTTGGGACAATTTAACTGGGTATTATCAGTCCTGAACCTGTAATGATATTTTCCTTCTTTTGGGGGGGACGGGGTTACCTTGTTTTTTCTATAGTTTGATGAAGAATTTTTAGAAACAAAAGAACAGTTGCAGAAGTTGCAGAATGGTGAGTATAAAAATGAAACAACCATCTTCAATAACGATTTAAAACAAAACAAAACAAAACTGATACTTATGTGGAAGGGTAGAGGTGCTCATGGCACTAAACATTCAGAACAGTATCCTAAAACCAGAAAACCAACAGGGAGTAATGGCTAAAGTTGCCAAGAAATTGCCCCTTATTCAGTCCAAAACCAAACCAAACCTGTTGCCGTTGAGTTGATTCCAGGACAGAGTAGAACTGCTCTACAGGGTTTCAAAGATTGTAATCCTTAGAGAAGCAGACTGCCACATCTTTCTACCATGGAGCAGCTGGTGGGTTCAAACAGCCAACCTTTTGGTTAGCAGCCCAGCACTTAACTACTGAGCCACCAGAGCTCCTTTTCTTGTTCAATAAAAAACAAACCAAACCAAAGCCGTTGCCGTTGAGTTGATTCCAACTCGTAGCCACTCTATAGGAAGAGTAGAACTACCCTGTAGAGTTTCCAAGGAACAGCTGGTGGATTACAGACTGCCGACCTTTTGGTTAGCAGCTGAGCTCTTAACCACTGCACCACCAGGGCTCCTTGTTCAATAAGTAGTTCTAAAAATGCTAGGTAAAAGGAGAGAGTCGCTTCTTCCCTTACCCAGGTTAACAGCCTTTCTGTTCCTCCTGCCCCTCCTCTGACCTGGTCCTCCTCCTTTTTTCTTCTTCCTTGTCCCTTTTCTCCTCATTCCCCACCCTTTCCTCCATGCTATCTGAGGCATCATCACCTGCTTGATGTATGCAGATAACCTCATCCCCCACTTACACTGGGCTACATTTCTGAAGTAAACACCAAACAGAAGTGAAATCAGTGAAAGTCCCTCCTTTAACTCCTGGTTAGCCCCACTCACTCTACTCCCATTCTTTGTAGCAGGAACCACCAGGAGGCCCCATAAAGAATGCCTAGCAACCTTATAATGAGGTAATGGTGGTTCAGTGGTAGAATTCTCACTTTGCATGTGAGGAAACCCAAGTTTGATCTCCAACCAATGCACCTCATGCGCAGCCACCGCATGTCTGTCAGTTGCTATGATGCTAAACAGGTTTTAGCAGAACTTTCAGACTAAGATGGACTAGGAAGAAAAGCCTGGTGATCTACTTCCAAAAATCAGCCAGTGAAAAACGTAAGGATCACAATATAATGGTATGATCCCCAGTTGATCATGGGGACAGTGCAGGACCAGGCAGCATTTTGTTCCATTGTGCATAGGGTCACCATGTGTCGGGGACCTACTCGACGACAGCTAACAATGATAACATCCGCAATCCTATAAGCAGCCTCCTCTCACTAGCCATTGGAAGGGTCCCCAGGCTCAACTCAACTTGAGAGGGAGCAGCTCTGCAGGGCTATACTGCCACAGTCTGTGCATGACACTGGCCTGCAGCCACCAGGCTGTCCCCAATCCGTGAGCTTCTTGAGGCAGTCTGTATCTTATACCTGCATCTCTCTCTACCCAAGTGGAAAGTGTTTGATGCAGATTTGTTGAAAAAAATCAATGGATCACTTTTTGACCAGTGATAGCAAACTCGTGTAGTATGCGGTCTGTGACTGTGGAACACAGCAAAACCAACGACTATCAGCTGGTGACGGAGCTTGCATTATCAAATGTTATAAAGCAGCCCTATCCATTAGGACATTCTCCAGTGATGGAAATGTTCTCTTCTGCCCTCTAACATGTGGTAGGTGCTAGCTAGATGGGGCTACTGAGCACTTCAAATATGTCTAGTCTGCCTGAGGAACTGATTTTTAAATTTTAATTAATTAAAATTTAGATTTAAATAGCTACACCTAGCTAGTGGCTAGCCTATCGTCCAGTGCAGCTCGAAAGAAATACCTCAACTGTGTGTCCCCCACCTCCGCCTCGTCACCACTGTGGATAGTTATTTTTCCTGAGGGTGAAAATGAAAAGGGAAAGTTGAGAACAGTGCTAGTTTCCAGGCTTCCTTTATGGTTAAATCTGCTCTTGGTTCTCCTGAGTGAAACTGCGGTTATGTGTCATCAGCAAGTTTTATACTATTTCCTAAGGGTATGGCTGCACTGTCCCTCTTATACAATAGAGTGTTGGTGTGCGTGAGGGAGGAGGGGTGGGAAGGCAGGGAAGAGATCACTCTAAGTCTGTGCTTCCATTCGCAGGTAACCACCTGCTGTTCCAACAAGTGCCAATGGTTGAAATCGATGGGATGAAGTTGGTGCAGACCCGAAGCATTCTTCACTACATTGCGGAAAAGTACCACCTCTTTGGCAATGACCTCAAGGAGAAAACCCTGTACTGTGGCCACTCTCAAGCATTCTCACTTGTCAGCTTACTGAGGCCTTAGCTGATTAGTAGTTCTCTGCAGCCCACCTCATCTACGTAATGTCTTGTATCGTTAGTGAGGACAGGGAACAATAATCCAGAAAGGTCAGACAGACCAGTTGAAAATTCACAGAGAGTCTGAGTAAAGCTTAGAAAAAAAATTGAACTCAGGTATTCAGTCCTGTATCTGTGGTGTCATTGTTTCAGTTTTCAGCATCTTAAAATGCTTTGATTTTAGAATATTGCTTTTACCTTCCTTGCAAATTTATTATCGTTGAGTCATGGGAAGCTGCTGTGACTTTCAAGGCCTGTGACACTGTGCATTGGGTTAGCATTTGAACTCAAAGCCTCGTCCTTCCAACACCTAGGTGTACGACCCTGGGCTGAGTGTTAAGCTTCAGTTTCCTGATGAGTTTCCTTTACAATGGAGACAAAAATAGTACGTGCTTCATAGTTTTGTGGTATTCAATGAGATAGTGAATATAGAGTGTTTGGCACCATGCTTGATGCACACCAAGCATTCAATAAATGATATTCACTACTTTTATAAATGTGAAGTTCAACCCCGTGCTGAGAGATAGCGTGTGGGTGCTAGAGTGAGGGTGGTGAAGCAGGAGCTGGGGAGAGAAGACAGTCATGACAATCATGCTTTCTTATCTGTAGCAGATTTTTCTGAAGGATTTCTCCAGACTACATCTAGAATTGACTTAGCATCTTTGCTCTTAAGAGGCAGGTGTAAATATTAGACCAAGAGACAGAAAGTGCCACATAAACCAGAGTCTCCATCAGCCTGAGACAAGAAGAACTAGATGGTGCCCAGCTGCCACCAATGACCGCCCTGACAGGGAACATAACAGAGAGTCCCTGATGGAGCAGGAGAAAAGTAGGGTGCAGAAGTCAAATTCTAGTAAAAAGACCAGACTTAATGGTCTGACTGAGACTGGAGGAACCCCGGAAGACATGGCCTCCAGACTCTGTTAACCTAGAACTAAAACGATTCCTGAAGCCAACTCTTCACACAAAGATTAGACTGGACTGTAAGACATAACATGATACTCAGGAAGAGTGTGCTTCTTACTTCAAGGAGATACATGAGACTAAATGGGCAGCTCCTGTCCAGAGGTGAGATGAGAAGGCAGAAAGAGACAGGAGCTGGTTGAATGGACATGGGAAATCTAGGGTGGAAAGGAGGAGTGTGCTGTCACATTTAGAGAGAGCAACCTGGGTCACATAACAATGTGTTTATAAATTTTTGTATGAGAAACTAAGGTGAGCTGTAAACTTTCACTTAAAGAACAATAAAAAATAAAAAAATGAGGCAGGTGTAGGTAAATGTTTCTTAGCACTTATGATGCCAGAGTCTTAAGAAAAGCAATTTGAATACTTAGCTATGGAAGCCAATGAGTTCATAGAGAAGGGAAACTGAGAAAACTGCTTTGTTTGTTTTAAGGATTGATATGTATGTGGAGGGGACTCTGGATCTTCTGGAGATGATTATCACACATCCTTTCCTAAAACCAAATGATCAGCAAAAGGAAGTGGTGAGCATGACCCAGAAGGCTGTGATCAGATACTTTCCTGTGTTTGAAAAGGTAGGTAGCAAGAAGCCTACAAACATGGTATCACCCAACCACAAGGGACCTGCTACAAACACCCTTTTCTGCTCAGTGTGGTGTAAACCTAAGCCAAGTGGACCAACCTTTCTGGACTTGTAAGTGCCAGTGGTGGCCCTCAGCACACGGCCAGATGTCTTGGAGTCCCTTAGGCTTCCCCAGGACCACATTCTTCAGAAGTCTGGAAAGAGTAGGGACCCACTATATTTGTGCACCATCATTCTTTGTATTCACCAAATGCCCACCTTGTGTAAGGGACAGAAAAGCCTAGAAACTACTTCATTCATTCATTCATTCATTCAACAATCATTTGTTGAACACCTTTTATGTGTCAGACATTCTAATGATTATTGGATGTGAAGAATCATTTCAGTGTTGTTTCTCTTCCCCTTGCACTTCTTGTTTTCTGTTATATTTTCCTCTTATTACCATAGCTGCTTTTCTGGGCTTCAAACTCCTCTTTTCTTGAACTGGAAGGATTTTTTTTTTTTTTTAATGTTTTAATTCGAAAAGAAAAGAATATATGGAAAGACCTATTTGGCAGACTCCCTCTGACAGTCGTCATAGAATTGGATTTAAAAAGAAGGAGAAATAGTTTCTGGGTTTTTTTATATTTTAGTTTAATAGTACCATGCTCAGGAGAGGTACCCTATGAATGTAAGATCTGATAATGCAGAAATGTAGTGTGAAGAGGGCACAGATTACTGGTGCCTTGGCAAAGAATCACTGCTGGCTCTTTTGTTCCTGTGGGCCAGACTTTATTTCAGGGCTCCTCACAACGCTCCTACAAGGTAAAAATGGTTACCTCATTTTTACAGATAGTGAAACAGAATCACAGAGAGTTTGAGTCACATGTCCAAAGTAACATGGTTTGAAAGTAGAGAGCCAGGATTGGAACTCTGGCCTCTGCCTACAAATCCTGGATTCATTCTACTATACCTCTCTGGCTCCAATACCTATATTGGATTTGGAGTAATACTGAGAGTCCTTGAGAGACACACATACATACACACATGTACACGTGCATGCATGCATGTGCATACATACATGTACACACACTCACACTTGTTCACAGCCAGCCTTGCTTCCCTCTTCCCTGCAGCTTATTAATGAAACAGAGTTAAGGATAATCCCCAAAGACAGTAAAACACTCATGGGCACGAAGAGTTCACTTCAAAGGAGATGTCCCCTTTGCTACCACTCTTCCTTTCCTTTCTGTGATTATATCAGTTCCTATAAATCCCCACACCTATATGTGACTCTCAAAACAGACTCAGAATGAATTTTCATGCTTTTAATTTTCTCTATCTTGGAAGATCTTAGAGGAAGTCTACTTCTTTTAGAGTCAGGACTGATTTATAACTATGAGTTCAGATGTTCATAGAAGCACAGAACTGGGAGATAAGATTGGAACAGCCCAAGGTTGTCCTTGGAGACCACCTATCACTTTTACTTCCATCACTTTTCCCTGATCCTCCTGAATTCATCAGGGCTGATATCCTTTCAAAGTACTGAATGCTAAGTCCAGAATTGATCAATATCCCTTTCCCTTTTCAGTGTCTCTGATATAAAGCAGATGTTAAATGATGTTTTCATTTCTACCGTTGTGCATGCACTTGTGTGTGTTCACACGCTCTTTCTCACTTCCCCATCCCACCTTCTCTCCCTTGATATAGGTACGTCCTTTTTTTTTTAATTTCATTTATTTTGTTGTTGTTGTTGAGAATATACACAGCAAAACATACACCAGTTCAACAGTTTCTACATGTATAATTCAGTGACATTGATTACATTCTTCAAGGTGTGCAACCATTCTCACCCTCCTTTTCTGAGTTATTCCTCCACCATTAACGTAAACTCACTGCCCCTAAAATTCCTATCTAATCTCTCGAGTTGCTGTTGTCAGTTTGATCCCATATAGGTAGTTCTTAAAAGAGCATAATGCTTAAGGCAGACATTTTTTACTAGTTAAGCTAAACTATTGTTTGGCTTTAAGAAGACTTCAGGGGGTATTTTTGGTTTAAGTTTTAAAGATTATCTCAGGGTAGTAGTTTCAGGGGTTCATCCAGCCTCCATGGCTCCAGAAAGTCTGGAGTCCATGAGAACTTCAAATTCTGTTCTGCAATTAGGAAATTCCTCTTAATTGATGCTGTTTATTAAAAGATGAAAGAACCAGGCCCTAGTTCCACCCCCTTCTTAGTTACAGCCACTCTTCACTTATTTACGTGATTAGGTCCCAAAGGCCAGGTCATTGTGTGAAAATCAGTGTTACGTGAAAACGGAGGATGACCACATCAGATCACAAAATGAAGGATGACTACATCATTACATAACTGGCAGATTATATCATTACATATCTGAGAATTATGTAATGATCTAATTACTGAGAATCATGACCCACCCAAGTTGACTCAAAACCTTAACCATCACAGCCAGCATTATTCTGGCCTCACACCTCGGTGTTCATTACTGCCAGTGGTATGTCATTAATGTACAAAATAGTCAGATAATAGATTTTTTACTATTGTCATAAATGAAAAATGTTGGATAAGGAGATAGTTGGTAAGGAGGCGTAAGTGTACTGCACTGATTCAGTGACTTCATCGGTTTCTCTTTGAAGAGTATCTATCCTAAATGATGCAAAACATTTATATCCTGCAGATTTTAAGGGATCATGGACAAAGGTTTCTGGTTGGGAACCAGCTGAGCCTTGCAGATGTGATTCTACTTCAAACCATTTTGGCTCTAGAAGAGAAGGTTCCTAGTATCCTCTCTGCATTTCCTCATCTCCAGGTGAATAAAATCATGTATTAGAAGATTGGCCCAGAACTGTTGGGCCTTGATTGGCTTGGTGTGAGTGTATGTGTTATATTTTTAGATTCTAGTTAGTAAAATGAAATGAAAGTACAGACTTGAAATTGTTTTATTTTGTTGGTCCCCATGTCCTTAGAGTTGAAAGGTTATTTACTTGTGAAAGAAGTTTTGTCTTAGTTTTGTTCCACAGATATACTCTTGGAACAAACACCATATGCAGAAAATTTGCCAGCTGGGACTTTGCATAATCTTAGGGTTGAAGACTCCTCATCTCTCTGTCCTGTGTGTACTGAGGGGAGGGCAGGAGAGGTCAGTACTGAAAACAGTCTCATATCGGGGCATGACTCCCTTTCTCAGAAGTAATGAGGTCTCAAATTGGAAACTCCCAGGCCTGTGTTCTGAGAGCTAATAAGGAGCACCCTAAATGTCAACCCAAAGCGTTCCAGCTGCTTTCCTTCCTGGAAGCTCCAAGGAAAGATCCCTGTGTGCCTCAGTTTGCTGCATGGAGCATTCTGGCAGGATTGATTGTAGAAATTTAAAACAGAAAAGGACTTTAAAAAAAATCTTCTCATCCAGTGCCTTCAACATACATATAAGGAAATAGAGACTGAAAGTAAAGAGGTCAGCAGCCAAGATAGCTCAACTAGTGAGCCCTTGAGTTTTAACTAGACATGTAGCCTTTTATCTCAAAGTCCAGTGAACTTTCCTCTATATTGGGGGTCGGCAAACTGCTTATTGTGGATATCTCATGTAAGTGCGATCATACAATATTTGTTCTTTTGAGTCTGACTTATTTTACTCAGCATAATGTTTTCAAGGTTCACCTGTTTTGTAGCAAGGACTTTATTTCTCTTTATGGCTGAGTAATATTCCATTGTATGTACGTTGTTGTTGTTGTTAGGTGCCATCAAATTGGTTCCGAATCATCATGACCCCAGGTACAATAGGACGAAACACTGCCTGGTTCTGTGCCATCCTTACAATTGTTGTTATGCTTGAGCCCATTGTTGCAGCCACTGTGTCAGTTTATCTTGTTGAGGGTCTTCCTCTTTTTCACTGACCCTGTACTTTACCAAGCATGAAGTCCTTCTCCAGGGACTGGTCCCTCCTGATAACATGTCCAAAGTATGTGAGATGAAGTCTTGCCCCCGTCACTTCTAATGAACATTCTGGCAGTACTTCTTCCAAGACAGATTTGTTTGTTCTTCTGGCAGTCCATGATATATTCAGTATTTGCCAACACCATAATTCAAAGGCATCAATTCTTCTTTGGTCTTCCTTATTCATTGCCCAGCTTTCACATGCATATGATGTGATTGAAAACAACATGGCTTGGGTCAGGCACACCTTAATCCTTAAAATGACGTCTTTGCTTTTTAACACTTATTTAAGTGTTAAAGACATATTTGCAACAGATTTGCCCAATGCAATGCATTGTTTGATTTCTTGACTGCTGTTTCCATGGACGTTGATTGTGGATCCAAGTAAAATGAAATCCTTGACAACGTCAGTCTTTTTTCCATTTATCATGATGTTGCTTATTGGTCCAGTTGTGAGGATTTTTGTTTTCTTTATGTTGAAATGTAATCCATACTGAAGGCTGAGGTCTTTGATCTTCATCAGGAAGTACTTCAAGTCCGCTTCACTTTCAGCAAGCAAAGTTGTGTCATCTGCATGTCACAGGCTGTTAATGAGTCTTCCTCCAATCCTGTTGCCACATTCTTCTTCATATAGTCCACCTTCTCGGATTATTTGCTCAGCATACAGATTGAATTAGTATGGTGGAGGGATACAACCCTGATGCACACCTTTCCTGATTTTAAACCACTCAGTATCCCCTTGTTCTGTTCAAATGATTGCCTCTTGGTCTATGTACAGGTTCTGCATGAGCACAATTAAGTGTTCTGGAATTCCCGTTCTTTGCAATGTTATCCATAATTTGTTACGATCCACAGTCGAATACCTTTGCATAATCAATAAAACACAGGTAAACATCTTTCTGGTATTCTCTGCTTTCAGCTGTGATCCATCCGACATAGCAATGATATCCTTTGTTCCACATCCTCTTCTGAATCCAGCTTGAATTTCTGGCAGTTCCCTGTTGATATACTGCTGCAACCGCTTTGGAATGATCTTCGGCAAAATTTTACTTGTGTGTGATATTAATGATATTATTCGATAATTTCTGCATTCTTTTGGATCACCTTTCTTTGGAATGGGTACAAATATGGATCTCTTCCAGTCCGCTGGCCAGGTAGCTATCTTCCCAATTTCTTGGCATAGGCAAGTGAGGACTTCAGTGCTGCATCTGTTTGTTGAAATATCTCAATTGGTATTCCGTCAATTCCTAGAGCCTTGTTTTTTGCCAATGCTTTCAGTGCAGCTTGGACCTCTTCCTTCAGTACTGTAGGTTCTTGATCATGTGCTACCTCCTGAAATGGTTAAATGTCGACCGATTCATTTTGGTACAGTGATTCTGTGTATTCCTTTCATCCTCTTTTGATGTTTCCTGCATCATTTAGTATTTTCCCTGTAGAATCCTTCACTATTGCAACTTGAGGCTTGATTTTTTTCTTCAGTGCTTTCAGACTGAGAAATGCCGAGTGTGTTCTTCCCTTTTCAGTTTTCTATCTCCAGGTCTTTGCACATTTCATAATACTTTACTATGTCCTCTCAAGCTGCCCTTTGAAATATTCTGTTTAGTACTTTTACTTCATCATTTCTTCCTTTCACTTTAGCTACTCTACGTTCAAGAGCAACTTTCCAGAGTCTCTTCTGACATCCATTTTCATCTTTTATTTCTTTCCTGTCTTTCTGATGACCTCTTGCTTTCTTCATGTATGATGTCCTTTATGTCATTCCACAACTCGTCTGGTCTTCGGTCATTAGTGTTCAATGTATCAAATCTGTTCTTGAGATGATCTCTAAATTGGGGTGGGATATACTCAAGGTCGTACTTTGGCTCTTGTGGACTTGTTCTAATTTTCTTCACTTCGACTTGAACGTACATATGAGCAATTGATAGTCTGTTCCACAGTCAGCCCCTGGCCTTGTTCTGACTGATGATACTGAGCTTTTCCATCGTGTCTTTCCACATATGTAGTCGATTTGATTCATGTGTATTTCATCTAGCGAGATCCATGTGTATAGTTACTGGTTTTGTTGGTGAAAAAAATTATTATAGTGAAAAAGTCGTTGGTCTTGCAAAATTCTACCATGTGATCTCCAGCGTTGTTTCTATCACCAAAGCCATATTTTCCAAATACTGATCCTTCTTCCTTGTTTCCAACTTTCTCATTCCAATTGCCAGTATTTATCAGTACATCATGATTGTATGTTTGATCAATTTCAGACTGCAGAAATTGGTAAAAATCTTCAGTTTCTTCATCTTTGGCCTTAGTGGTTGGTGCATAAATTTGAAAAATAGTCGTATTAACTGGTCTTCCTTGTAAGTGTATGGATCTTATCCTATCACTGACAGTGTTGTACTTCAGGGTGGATCTTGAAATGTTCTTTTTGATGATGAACTCAGTGCCATTCCTCTTCAATTTGTCATTCCTGGCATAGTAGACCATATATTCTATGTATATACCACATTTTTTTAATCCATTCATCTGTTGATAGACATTTAGGTGGTTTCCACCTTTTGGCAATTGTACTGCAATGAACATTGGTGTACTTGTGTCTGTTTGCGTTGCTGCTTTCAAGTCTCTTGAAATAAGTAATGAAAAGGAGTGGAACTTCTGAATCATGTGGTAATTCTATGTTTAACTTTTTGAGGAACCGCCAAACTATTTTCTATATCAGCTGCACCGTTTTTCATTCCCATTAGCAATTGATAAGAGTTCCAGCTTCTCCACAACCTTGCCAACATTTGTTGTTTTCCACCTTCAACAAATATTTATTGAACGAATTTTTTTTAATTGTGCTTTAAGTGAAAGTTTACAGTTCAAATTAGTTTCTCATATAAAAATTTATACACACATTACTATGTGACCCTAGTTGCTCTCCCTGTAATGTGACAGCACACTCCTTCTTTCCACCCCAGATTTCCTGTGTCCATTCAGCCAGCTCCTGTCCCTTTTTGCCTTTTCATCTCGCTTCTGGACAGGAGCTGCCCATTTAGTCTCATGTATCTACTTGAGCTAAGAAGCACACTCTTCAAGAGTATCATTTTATGTTTTATAGTCCAGCCTAATCTTTGTCTGAAGAGTTGACTTTGGGAATGGTTTCAGTTCTGGGCTAACAAAAAGTCTGGGGGCCATGTCTTCTGGGGTCCCTCCAGTCTCAGTGAGACCATTAAGTCTGGTCTTTTTACTATAATTTGAGTTCTGCACCTTACTTTTCTCCTGCTCTGTCAAGAGACTCTCTCTTGTGTTCCTTGTCAGGCACTGTCCAGTTCTTGTCTCAGGCTGATGGAGTCTCTGGTTTATGTGGCCCATTCTGTCTCTTGGGATAATATTTTCCTTTTGTCTTTGGTGTTCTTCATTCTCCTTTGCTCCAGGTTGGTTGGGACCAATTGATGTATCTCAGATGGCTGCTCGCTAGCTTTTAAGACCCCAGATACCACACACCAAAGTGGGATGCAGAACATTTTCTTAATAAACTTTGTTATGCCAGTTGACCTAGATGTCCCCTGAAAGCATGATCCCCAGGCCTCCGCCCCTGCTATTCTCTCCCTCTAAGTGTTTGATTGTATTCAGGAACCTTCTTAGCTTTTGGTTTAGTCCAGTTGTGCTGACTTTCCCTGTAGTGTGTATTGTCCTTCCCTTCACCTAAGATAATTCTTATCTAATATCTAGTTAGTGAATACCACCCCCCCCACCCTCGTAACCATCAAAGAATGTTTTCTCCTGTGTTTAAACTATTTCTTGAGTTCTTATAATAGTGGTCTCATAAAATATTTGTCCTTTTGCAACTGACTGATTTCACTCAGCATAATGCCTTCCAGATTCATCCATGCTATGAGATGTTCCGCG